ACTCAAAAGAAATTGATGAGTTTTGTGATTCCAAAGGAATTATACATGAAGTAATTGCTCCATATACACCCCAACATAATGGGATAGCCGAGAGAAGGAACAGGATGTTACTTGACATGACTAGATGCATGATCAAGGGAAAGAAGTTGCCTCATTATTTGTGGGGAGAAGCGGTTTCCACCGCAGCTTATTTGTTGAACAGAAGCCCAACAAAGGCATTACTAGATTGCACTCCTGAAGAAGCTTGGTCAGGAGACAAACCTTCTGTTCATCATTTGAGAATCTTTGGGTCTGTTTGCTATAAACATGTACCAGACGAAAGGAGGAAGAAATTAGACGACAAGAGTGAAACTCTCATCTTAGTTGGCTATCATCCAACAGGAGCTTATAGGTTGTTCAGTCCAGAAAAGAAGCAGATCATTATTAGCAGAGACATAATAGTGGATGAGGCTGCAACGTTGAATTGGAAGAAGGTTGAAGCAAACTTACAACCAGATTCTATACCTAGCTTGTTAGAAGATAAAAGTTCTATTGCTGAATAGGTTGCTACAGATGATGGAGTTCAGAACAGAAGATCACAAAGAACAAGATTTCCTTCCACCAGACTCTCAGATCATGAAGTTTATGCAGACAATGATATAACCAACGCCGGTGATCTTGTTCATTTTGCATTTTTGGCTGATGCAGATACTTTGACTTGGAAGTAGGCTCTTGATATAAAAGAATGGAAAGAAGAAATGATTGAGGAGTTAAAGACTATTGAAAAAAATAGAACGTGGAAGTTGGTTGATTTGCCACAACATAAACACCTCATTGACGTTAAGTGGGTGTTTAAAACCAAGTATAAACCAGATGGAGAAGTTGCAAAGTTTAAAGCCAGATTGGTTGCGAAAGGTTTTTTACAAAAACCTAGAGTTGATTTTACATATGTGTTTGCACCTGTTGCAAGACTGGAAACTGTGAGATTGGTGGTGGCAGTAACCAGTTTAAAGAGCTGGAAAATATGCCAAATGGATGTAAAATCAGCATTCTTGAATGGGCCACTAGAAGAAGAAGTTTATGTGAGACAACCTCCAGGTTTTGTGAAGGAAGGAGAGGAGCAGAAAGTTTACAGATTAAATAAGGCTTTATACAGGCTTAGACAGGCGCCTCGTGCATGGAATAAACATATCGATTCATTGCTTATCAGACTTGGATTTCACAAATGTTTAGTAGAGTTTGGAATCTATGTAAAGTCTGTTACGCATAAAAGCATATTAATAGTTTGTTTGTATGTAGATGACTTGATCATGACTGGAAACTTAGAATGTGAGATCGAAGACTTTAAAAGGAGAATGAAAGTAGAATTTGAGATGACTAATCTCGGTGATCTCAGTTACTTTCTGGGGTTGGAATTCTTACAAACTGCAAATGGAATATTACTCCATCAAAAAAGATTCATTAACGAAATCTTGAAGAGATTTAGCATGGTGAACTGTAATAGTGTTCCAATTCCAATCATAGCTAACTTGAAGTTAACATATCAAGTGGATGAGAAGAAAGTGGATGCAACTCTGTACAAACAGGTTGTAGGATCACTCATGTACGTTTGTAACAGTAGACCCGATATTAGCTATGGAGTTGGATTGGTGAGTAGATTTATGAATGAACCAAGGCTATCACACTTATCAGTAGCCAAACACATTCTAATATATTTGAAAGGAACAACAGATTTTTGTCTCTTCTTTCCTAAAATGTCAAGCAACGTTGAGGGAGTTTTGGAGGTCTGGTGTGACTCTGATTGGTGTGGTGATAAAGTTGATAGGAGGAGTACGTTTGGCTATCTCTTCAAGTACATGGGAGCACCAATTTCATGGTGCTCTAAGAAGCAAAGTGTGGTGGCACTTTCGTCTTGCGAGCGTAATATATAGCATCTTCGTAAATAGCTTGTCAATGTGTGTGGATGGAAACACTCTTTGATGATTTGAAACTAGAGTGTAGAAAACCAAGTACAACTTCTAGTAGATAACAAATCTGCTATTAGTTTATCCAAGAATCCAGTTTTTCATGGAAAAAGTAAACACATTGAGACAAAATTTCATTATTTAAGGGACCAAGTCAGCAAAGGAAGATTGGAACTAATACACTGTTCTACAGAAGATCAAATAGCTGATATTTTTACCAAAGCTTTGAGACAAAACAGATTTGAAAAATTGAGAGACTTATTAATAGTAAAATCTATGAAAAATTTGGATTAAGGGGTTGTGTTGAATTAATCCAATATTCTTCCTAACTGCAATAACTGTCATGCAGTTAGATAATTTTCATTTCAGCTTTATATACCCTTGTATATACTTTTTCTATGAATAAGAAAGAAAATTATTAGTTTCTCTATTACACTCTTTTCTTTACGTTAAAGTGTTAGTGCTAAGAACAATGAATATCACATATTTCCATGATTGTTGGATAAAAAAAAAATTCTTCATGTTTTGAATAAATCTTGACATATATTCTTAATCTTTATGTTAGAAATTCTTCATATTATCTTAGTTCTTACTCAAATAATTTCCTTTACATGACTCCACTTTCTTATTTTCTTTATATATTGGTAAGATATAAATTTTGTTTAACTTTTGTTACTATATATTATATATTTTTATTTTAAGGTATTATTTTGAATTTTTGTTATTACACATATTCTTCAATTATTTTTTTATTTTTCATATTATAATTTAATTAGTATATATATATATATGTCATATTTCATAATTCATTTAATAATGTATTTTTAAAATTATTTTATATTTAATTCCAACGAATTTATCAGCTTAATTTGATAAGTATTAAATGATGATTTGTTTTGTAACCTATCTTTTGAATCATTATTAACTTATTATATTTATATTCTTATCTAGTGAGACATATATTGAAAAACTAATCATATTTATTATCATTAAAATTATAAATTTGATTTTTATTTTTTAAAAAATAATTCAATACCTAAATTAGGTGTTAAATGTGAAAAGAAAAGAAATATGAACAAGCCCTCTTTGTAAGTTAATATACAAAGTTTTGATACAAGGAATATAAACTTGGAATATATGATTTTTTTTATAGTTACAAAATATATCCCTTATCTAATATTATTCTTAATCTTATCCAAATAAATATTCATTATGTAGTTTTTTTTTCAAAAATATAGTGTTATATTTAATAATTTTTATTTTTATAGATATATTTATTATATAGATATGTAAGTATATTTTAATTAAGTTATTAAAACATATTTCATGAAAATTAATAATTAAAATAAATTATTTTATGATTTTGTTGTTAAATAATTTGTGATATATAAAAATAAGTTTAGTTCATTTTTAATTTAGCTTTTAAATATATTTTATGAAAAAAAATTAAAATTAATAATTTTATAAATATTTAATCAGGCGATTTGTAACAAAAGTTAAATTTATTAAAAATATTTAATAGAGCTACTTTAAAATTTTATAATTAGAACTAAACATGTTATAGATATTTATTAAAAACACAAGTTATTATTCAAAAAATAAATTAGTTATTTAAAATAAATAATAATAAAATCATTATATATATAATTAATTCTTACAAAGAATTCCTTTATTTTTCAGTTTTTTATTCATACGAAGAAATCAAATACAAGTATTAAAATTTTTATGGCAATTCACTTATTATTTAACCATTTGATTAATATATGCTTATCAATTTCGAATTTGAGTACACAATATTTTTTTTAATTTAGTTTGAATACACATTTGTAACAGTAGTGTTTTAATAAATTATAAATATTTAATTTTATTGTTAAATAGGATAATAATTTAATAATATGCATTCTCTCATTATGTAATTAATTTCATTTAATGGAGTTAAAAATCTTGAACACCCAAAAGATTTTAATATACATGATTCTAATAAATATTTTATTTAGGGAAAATCAATCTGTTTATCATTTGAACTAGTAAGCATTAAATGATTATTTAGCATTGAATAATTATTAGAATCAATTAAATATTAAGCATTTAATTAATTAAATGATCCAGGGATTTTTTTAAGTATGTATAATTAAATATGTTTAATTTTTTTATCAACTTGACATGAGGATGCACACTTCAGATTTTTGTCTCCATTTAATGAGAAAATTTAATACAGTTTTGTTACCAATTTTTTTTTTATAATTATTCCCCAAATAAAATCTTCTAAACCTTCTCAACATTTCAATTTTTGTTTTAATTTCTAATATTTTTTTATTTTATATTTCGTCATTCACTGTTGGGTATAAAAACGTGTGATAATAAATATTTCGGAGAAATAAAAAGTAAAGTTTATTTAAAAATTAAAAGTAAAGAAAAAGTTAAAAGAGAAGGAAAAAGTAAAACATGTTTCATTACCAAAAGCACATTGTTAAGTTACTTTTAATTAAATTCATTTACGGCAATGAAGAAATGGTGTAACGAGAAAACCAAAATGATATTTTAGCAGAGTGAAGAAATTAGTGATATTAATGAATGAATTAAAAGGAATGAATGTGGATTTGTTTGAGCAATTAACAAATCGGGAGAAATTGAATATTTGCAGAGACCAAATGTTCCATTATAACAATTAATGTGTTTACATATAGAAAATAGAAGATGCGAAAAGGTATGTATAATTATAATTATAGTAAGAAGTCCCTACATTAAATAATTATTTAGCAAAATTAAATTGGTGCCAAGTTGACCAGTCAACAAAAGGAAATTGATTAGAAGAAAAAGCAATTAATAAAGAAAAAATGAAATTGAATGTCTGAAAGAAAATGTGCATAGTGGTGTAGTCCTTGCCATATAGTGAAGATGAACACAGTGCTTAAATAGCGCGTAGGAACTGAAAAGGGCCCTACGAATACATTTCTCACCAAACCAAACAAAAGTTACATTTCATTGCGTTGCATTGCACACTTCTCTCTTTCTTTCTTTTTCGTTTCTTTCTCTGTGTTGTTGAAGCAGTCAACGATGGAGTCCAAATCCCCTCGAAGGTACCAAGAGCACCGCGGCGGCGTCAACCTCCTTCCGTCGCCGCGCCACAGCCACAGCTCCAACAGTAGCAGCAGCAGCAGCAGCAGCAATGGCCTGCACCACAGCCAATTCACGCCGCTCACGCCAACCGCGCCTTCTCCGTCGTCGTACCCGCCCAAGCCCGTCACCAGATCCGAATCGGCCAACCCGTACCCGACGACGTTCGTGCAGGCTGACAGCTCCTCCTTCAAGCAGGTTGTCCAAATGCTGACCGGATCCTCGGAAACCGCGAAACAAGCGTCGTCCTCCAAAGCAAACTCCGAAGCTGTAAGGCCCCACTCCCACAGTATCCCCCCAATGAAGAAACAATCCGGATTCAAACTCTACGAGCGCAGGAACACGCTCAAGAACCTCAACATCAACCCTCTCCTCCCTGTCTTCTCCAACACCGTCTCCGGCTTCTCGCCGCGCAACACCGAAGTCCTCTCCCCCAGCATCCTCGACTTCCCCGCACTCGTTCTCAGCCCCGTCACGCCTCTCATACCAGACCCTTTTCACCGATCCCGTTCCCTCGACACTCAGGCTGAAGAAAAAGCCATCCAAGAGAAAGGATTCTTCTTGCACCCCTCCCCCGCCTCCACTCCCAGGGACGCTGACCCTCCTCGCCTTCTTCCTCTCTTCCCCACCGCCGCCCCAGGTTCTTCTTCCTCCTCTTAAATTTTCATCATTTATCAATCAATCCCTTCCTTTTCCCTTGTCCTTTACATTTTCTGTAAGATTCTTATATATATTTTTATGGCATTCATGAGGACCAAAGAGAGAAAAAAAAAATAGATAAAGTTGTAATGGCGTATGCAGAGAATGGAACCAGAATCTTGCTTCAATTGTATCTAAAGTTTTCTTCTTTCCTTTTTTTCTGTAGTTTGTCCATGCGTTTTTTTTTTTTCTCTTCTGCCTTTTATCCTTTCTTCAATGTTAATTATGGGAGGGAGCGGAACTCGGGAGAGACGAATTTAATTTCACCCCTTCTTTTTGGGTTGGTCTAAATGCTAATTATTGAGCTCGTGGAGAGAAGAGCGAGTTTGATTCGAAAATGCGAAGCTTAATTAACTTTGAGTACCAATAAATTCGTCAATTATTGTTAGCCATGCCGATCGGGGCATTGGGGTGTATGGCAATTTAATGATAGAAAAGGTTTTACTACTACCATACTATCTAACCATAAATTTCCCTTTGCTTGGTCTTTTTTAAATGTAATTTTTAATGTGGTTCCTGCAAGGTCGCTGCGTATATCAGAGGATTTAATTTACTTGTTTTCCCACACTGTCAAATCCTTCAATTAATGCCGAATTTAAATTCTGTGATCCAATTCAGTTCCTTCAGCTTGAGGGCAATAATAATAATGAATGTTATACCTAAGTGCAGTCCTTGCAGAGTGGTAGGGATAAGAATTATGAAACTGGTGTGTGTGTGTGTGTGTGTGTGTAAGAGAGAGAGAGAGAGAGAGAGAGAGAAATGTGTTGGTTTACATGGATGGGAAGCAAAAGCAGTGTTGGGCTAGCTGTCAAAGAAAGAGTAGAAGAATGGGTAAGGAATCTTGACCCCTTTTGTTGTCTTTCCGAGTGAGGGGAAGGTGCCAAGAAGAGATGCAGGTATTCAGGCATTCTATGTGTTTTTCTTGGGTAGAATAGAACGCATCCACCAGTTTTATTATGCTGTGTATCTATGTACTTCATGCCTCTCTTCCCAAAGCACCGCAGGCTATCACCACCAAGGACAAGGTTGATGCATCCATTCACATGTTTTTCCTTCCCAAACGTTCATCAAAATTCACCCATGTTTTATGGCTTTTTTAGCATAATAACCACAACGAAACTCGTGAACCATCTACACACTTTATCACTAAACCAATCCTTGTGTAAAAATTAAGGTTGGATTGCTTCTTAGCAGCTTCTTTGTGGCTACAGAGATTCCTCTAAATAATTAAATTAAAACGATAATACTAATTCTCATTATCAAGTTGAATGAATAAAAACAGTAATAATGAGTGATACTGAAATCAAGTTTTGTTTTTAGTCAGAGTTTGTGCTACTCTTGTAGTGTGATGATTGATTCCGTTTCGATGAACCGTGAAATTGTGGCAATGACATGTAAGGAAGGAGTAGAAGTCAAACTAGCTCGTTAGTGGGCTTAGGTTAGAGCAATAAATTGCGTTGGCTGAGGTGAAGGAGTGAATATGAACAGAAAAAGTGCAAGGTGTGAGTGAGCCACTGAGGAGGTTGTCTTTTTCTATGTTGTTGATGTTTTTCCTTTGTAGTTGGGACCTCGTTTTTTCTTTTGAGTCACAGGGTGTTGAATGAAAGGTTTGAACAGGCTTAAAAAACAATGATGCAAAGACAGTTGCTCTTTCTGTGATTGATTCAGTATTTTATTTTTGAGTGGAAGGAGAGCACAGTGTTGTGAATGGGAACATGGGAAATTGAATGAAAGGAAGGGGAGAGGAAGTGGGACTTGTGATGATGAAAGTGAAGAAGATATGGGATTGGGAAGTAGTGATGGAAATGGGAAAGCCAGAAAACATGGTGCTGAGATGGCCTCTTTTGTGTTGGTTTGTTTGATATGATTTTTTATTTTTGAGGACTTTGCAACTCTTGGTTGGTGGTGCATTTATTGGAAATTTGAAACTCAACATGTGCACTGCTCTGAAACACTAGTCCCATTATCGACGCCATCATCTTCTATACCTTTGCCTTTCACTATCATTTTTCAGAAAGATAGAACACAACATGCTTCATGTGCCATGTTTTCATTTGAACCATTATTGTTATTATTAGACAGTAACCCTTTCAAAGTCCACACACCTTCTTTTATTATAAAAAAAATTCAACTATGGCATATTTGACTGTCTCTCACCAATACAATTTATGGGGATGGATGATGGATGATGGTTGGTTGACAAAAAAAGAGACCATGTTTAATATTTTTTGTAAAAAACGAAAACCTAATTTATACGGCATCATGGATCATGGTTGGTTGACAAACAACTTGAATATATTAATGTTTTGACTGAAAAGGGAATAGAATAAAAAGAAGCAAAACAAACAGGTATAAAGGAGAATTTCTCCTTATTCAATAATAGTGGAGAAATGGGTTAAACTTTTTTGTTAATTTCTTTTGCCTCAGTGTCAAAGAGAAAGATAAATTACTTTTTTTTTGCCAAATATTACTAATGATAATGACAAAAATTTGAAAGATGAAAGAGTGTGAGAGAGAATTTTGATAATAACAAATAAATTACTTTTGTTTTTCATCATTGAACAATAACACCAAAACACATGCTTTCTTTATAAAGTCTTTAATAAGAACAAATAAAGAAAAATAACGCAACCATTACTATAAATTGTCAAACACTATATAAAAAGATCATTACATACTTTTTAGACTGTGCTTTATATTATAGACAAGAAAAAAAATTATAATTTTGGTATATATATATATATATATATATATATAATTAGTTTTTATCAAGCAAAAGTATTATATGTTAAAATTAATTTATGAATAAGTTATTTTACAAAGGCTTTTAGATATAATTTATTTGAGTTTTTTTATGTTTAACTTATACTTTAAAGTTATATATTTTAAAAGTTTTGATAACAAATTTGACCTAAACATACTTGTAGTAAGAGAATTCATAATTTGAAACTTAAAATATAATAATATATGTTAAACAAAGTGATAGGTACTGCATAGACTTTTAAATAATGTAATTTGAAATTAAGTTCATGTTGACCAAAAAATATATAATGTAATTAATAATAGTGGTACTTGAACAACACATGAAGAAGACAAGAAGAAGATGAAGGTACAATGAAAATTTAGATGGGTTTGATGCTGATGATGACTTCAAGGAGCCACCCAACCCACTTGGCTACTCTTTATCTGCCGCCAAAGCAGAAATTTTTCCACTTTTCAGATGTACACCCTGCAGCATGGACCAACAAAGAAAGGAACAAAACTTGGCCAGCTTCATGTTCGATAAATGCAATAAATTTATCAATTTTTTTTTTTTTGAACGATGATGTAAGATTGCAAGTGTTATTAGATTTAAAATGTAATATCGTTAGTAGTTTATATGACAATATATTTTTTTTCAAATTATACTGTTTAAAAGATTAATTTAAAATTTAAAGATACAAAATAAATTAAAATTAAATTTGAGGGCGATGAAAATAAGTTTTGACTATGAAGTGCATGTGGACAAAAGAAAAGAACAACACGGATGTCACCCACTACCTTCCTCCACTTGTTTTGATATCTCAGTTGCCATATTAATTTCTCAGCAATTTGACGTATTCAGCGAAAGATTGCGATTTTCCTTCAGGAATAAACATGCATGTAACTATAACACTTGTTCAAACTTAGATTACATTCAGAGAACAAGCCTCTTGCAACCATTTTGGATTGAAGATGGGCTCCAAATTATATATATAATAATAATAATAATAATAATAATAATAATAATAATAAATAAATAAATAAATAAAACTTAACTCATTAATATAATTAGTAACTTTTTAATAATATTTTTATTATATTATTTATTATTTTGTGTGAATTTGTACATTTTATTTATATTTTTTAATAAATTTTGTTAATATTAATTATATATATATGTTGAAAATTGATATATTATAAAAAAATAAAGATGATTTTATTTGTATGAGTGGAGTTTATATTAACAAGATTAATCAACCGATTATATTATTTGTTACGAGGTTTTTAATGAACTATTTAAATATTTAATATTATTCAACTATTTACAAACATTTATAATATCTAGTATCATGTTTTCAAGATATTTAACTTTTAGTACGATGTTTGAATGAAAATTTTAAATTAAAAATCTAATCAAATTTTCATATTTAAATAAATTTAAATATATGATTTTATATAATTAATTTATACTCAAAATGATAAGTGTATTATCTATATAAATGGTAAAAATAATTAATATAATTTTTTAAAAATATATTAAGATAACTGATGTAGTATTTTTTTAAATCAGTGACATTTATATCAATTTTATAATTGATGTTAATAATCTAATGGATATAAAAACTTTTTTATTAATAATTTTTTTCTTTTATTGTTAAATATTATTAGAAATTTAATTATTTCTTTATATATGTTTTCATTCATTATCTATAAAGTATATAATAAGACTTAAATAGTCTAAATATTGTATGTAAATCAATAATAAAAAATAAGTATTATTATAAGAACACATGTAAATGGAGTGGTTAAATAAAAATAAATATTTTATTATAAATATTATATTTGAGTGGTTTATGGAGAAAATTATTTAAAATTATAAAAAAATTACTTATATAAGCGACCAAGTTTTAAAAGCATCTCTATAAATTGTTAACAAAAATTATTTAAAAATAAAAATAAATATTTTATTATGAATTTTATATTTAAATTACTTAAAATTAAAATAAAATTATTTATATAAATACTTTTAACTAAGTTAAATAAGATTCATAATAAAATATTTATATTTATTTTCAAACAATGTTAAAAACTTCAATTAAAAACGACCGTATAATTCATACTCATGATAAAATATAATTTTATTTTTAAATAATTTTTATTAAGAATTCTATTTGAGATGCATGCCATAATTTTACATAAAAAATCTTTAATAAACCTCTTATGAATTAAATAAAATCTTTAATAAGCCATAATTTTTCATAATCAAAATTATTTAAAATAAATTAAATAATCAAATTAAAAAATATATATTAAAATAATATAAATTATGAAAACAACCTCTTATGAATTCTGATATGCAATTTCAGTTCTGGTTAAAAACCTTTGTATTATTATAGTCTAAATAATTACCTACTATATTAAATATTTATAATTTTATATTTAAGAACTTTACTAAATTTTAAGTTGTTAAGAATAATTAATAAATATACAATGAAAGTAATTAGTTAACTCAGAAATAATATTCAACTAATTCTTCTCCACCTATCTTCAAAACATAAGAAAAAAAGATAAAAAAAAACTTAAAAATATTAAAATTAAATATTTTATGGAACGTATAATAGATATATTCATTTCCAAATGTTAACTCAAAAATTTCATAAACAATTAGAAATATTTAATTCTACAAAAGAAAACAATATTATGATAGATTGAGAATCCCTTATAACTTAAATCTTCTGCTAATTTTTTTTCCTTGTTGTGTTTCTTTCTTTAGTTCGAAGTTCAACCTCTCCTGAATAATAATTGTAGAAATTTAGTGTAATAATAAAAAAAATATTACAATAGAAATAAAAAATACATTTTAAATGCACAATATATAAAACAATCTCAATAAAGTCTTTTGTAAAATGAAAGAACCGTTAAAAACCACTGATGTTGTTAAAAAGAAGAAGTGATCAAAGAACCATAAAACTCACAGTTATTGTAACATTTCATTTCAACATAGCAGTCTTGGTAAGCATAATAAATTACTAACTAAAACTTCTTTAAAACTTTGCTAAGGAATGAATCATTAAAACCCATAAATAACAAAAAAAAAAGTTCATTTCTTTGATAATAGAACACATGACTGTCATATAAAAAACATCATAAAATACAACAGAAGAGGATCAAAATTGACAGCAACTATAGGTTAAAATTGTGGTTTAAAGTTGAAGGACCAATAAACTAATTACAACGTATAACAACATAATGGACGCAATTTACTTTCAAAAACTATAAGAAAAAAGAAGTCATTATCTTTGACAAGGTTAAATCCCTTATCAAGAACTCAAGTAAAGATAAAAAACAAGGGAAATCAAGGAAGGACATATCTGAAGAAGCAAATAGAAAAATTTTAAAAATCCAAGTTTGTAAAATCAGCCGAAAACATGTGACTGAATGTTACGATGCTATCAAATTATATTGCTGGAAAATTGGATTGAATATATCCTTAAAAGAGAAGATGAACTGAATATATAGACCTACTAATGAAGGGATTGTAAGTTATTATAATGAAGGAACAACCTACGAGCTCAAAAAATTAATGTGCATGGAAACAAAAATCAAAGGTCAATGTGCTTTTGGATGATAATGGAACCGAGAAAGGTAGATCAGATTGAAAAGAAGAAGATAAGAACCCATTTCTGATTCATTAAGCTGTTTTTGCTCCATTTATATTTGAAAGAAGAGAACGCATTGTACACAAGTTACATAACAAGAATACAAAGAGGGAGAGAGACCAATTGGGTTCCCATATTACATTATCATCAATCACAGACACTCAGAATTACATAATCAACCTCCACGAAAATAAAATATAAGGTGATGAAAATGGAGGCCAAAGTATAAACGTACAAGTTATTGAAGAATCTGAATTCATAGAACAAAACCAGACACGACACTTATTATGACATTATTATAGATAATAGGTATATGTTATTGCTATTATATATGTTGGTGTCTGGATTTGATTTAACTGGTGTCTCTAGCACAATGCGTGATTTCGCTGCAACCACGAGTGTAAGGGTTGGCGCGACCTCTCTGCTGGCAATTGTAGTAGGAGTTTCCACGGTTACCACATGGGATTTGGTTGGCATTGAGGGCACCATAGCTGATGTATTGTTGTCGCCCCGTGAGTGTGCGACGGTTGGACTCAGAATCTAGCAGCATCTCATTGTCATCTCCAACGAGATCACCCACAGCACCAAAGCCATATTCTTGATGAACTTTGGATGCTTCAGCCACCATGGCCAAGACCATGATGACCAAGATGAGGAAAGAGAGCCAGACCTTGCTGTTCATTTCCAGAAGGGTAGGGTAGTGAGTTTTTGAATTGGTTCTTATTGGAATGGAGGATGAGAAAGAGAAAATGAAAGACTCTGAGGATGCCTTTATCCCTGCCCTTCCTGGTATAGGAAGGGGATCAAGAGGATATAGGAGAAAAACGATGCCAAGGTAGTTAGTTTGTAGGGATAAAAAAGGATAGAGTTTGGAGGGTACAGAGTTTCGTGGCTCTGTTACATTCGTTTAACCTAATTTTTTGTTGGGCCCGTTCCTTCCTCCTCCTTTTTCTCTTCTGTCTTCAAATTTCTGAACTTCATGCCAAATCGAGCTTAACATTCCATGTCCTCGTTTATTCCTCATCTCAAATGCATGGTTGCCATGCATCATCAACTTGCTATAAATTCAAACAACGTCTTTTTCTAACCAATAATAATGATCCACTCCTAGATTCTAAAATTATAAATATGCTAATTACGCATTCAATTTGTGTAACTTTATTACAAAGGTGACAGATATATAAATAATAATAAAACATATACAACATTAGAGTGAATAATAAACAGTGTAGACACATCATTGCACTTAAAAATAATATGTTTGATGATTTTTGTTGCTGGAGTTCGCAGGTTTGGTTTGGTTTTTGGTTAAATTAGGGACCTGAACGGAATATAAAAAATCATATACCATCGAGTTTAGTTTGATGTTTTATATTTCATCTATAGTTTGAATTAAGCTTTATGTTGAAAAAAATAAATAAAAAATAAACAAAATTTAATTTAGATCGATTTTTTGTATTTTGTTATTTTTTGTATTATTAGTTCATACACTTCTAATTTTTATAATCATCATCTTACAAGTCATGTTAATTACTAAAATATTTTATAAAACTTGAACTTATTTTTGTTGAAAATATATAGAAATTAAAGTCTATTACAAAGTATATAGACAGTGAATTTGGGCTATTGTTTTGGGTATTGTGAACCAAGCTCGTAAAGGTAGTATATTTCTCTAATTCAATAATTTCTTTATGTACCTTCCATTATAGTGAAATGATAAAAATATCTGCTTAAATCCTTATAATTTTAGGAAAATAAAAATGTGAAATGTATGAAAAAATTCGATTATATATTTAAAAAATATTCTAAAAAATTATATTTGAAAAGAAAATTTTCAAAATATCTAAAATTGATTTGTCTAAAGCATTGCATAGTAAAATTTATCATTAAAAAATTATAATAATTTTAACAATATTTGAAAATGTTTCATTTATTAACATTTAAAGATTAAAACTTTCCTAATTATAATGAGATAAGGTATTTATTTATTTTTAGATTAAAATTCCGAAACATTTCTGCATCAGCGCCGTCACGCCGAAATTGACATCCTGGATTGACTACGGGATGAAGAAGTTGGGCTCAGAATCCACCTCGTTCTCACAACTGGGCCTGTGTTATGATACATTAAGGCTCCTTCATCCAAAACTTCTATAATTTCTTTCTGATTCTTCATAATATATAAAATATCTTTTTACATATTTTAGTTTGAAACCCTATAAAGTTTCTTTATTTTTGTCTTCTCTAAACCTTCTTTCCATTTTTATATTGCTATTCTTCCTCCTTGAATATCGTTTTCATTCTATAAGATTAAAAATTATTAATATTTTTATTTATTATATAATACTCATTCTAATATCTATGCAAATTAGACTGAAAATATATATACGAATTTAAATTGTTCAATCTAAAACACATTTTTAAATTTAAAAGTGAGTTTTATAATAATTAATTATATTTTTAAAATATTTAATCTAAAAATATATTTCAAAATAATTGTTTCAGAACTCATTTATAAATTAAATGATCTAAATATATTTTGAATTGAGTATTCTATAAATGAATTCAAAATATATTCCTATAACGTATAGTTAAAAAAAGATAAAAATAAGAATAAAATAAAATTTATACAAAGAAAAAATTATCCAGCTAGTAAATTAATTTCTTGAAGATATATAGAGTTCAGAAAAAGAAAACTTCTTTATTATTATCTTTTAATTAGTGGAAATAATTAAGGAATTTTAAATAATATGAATTATGAAAATTACATAAATTGATAAATTATAATTTAAATATATATATATATATATTATTTTTACTGAAACGAAAATTGAATTTCATTTTCAACTAAAATGTCAAAAACTTTGCTTGAGGTTCTTATCTTTCTGGATCATGCTTGTGAAATTGATTAACCTCGAAAGATTATTATAGTGTTATCTATCATTTTCTCATTGCAATTAATGAAAGGGTAAACTCAAAGTGAGAGTGTTCTCCACAAATGGAAATATATGCAACCTGTTCACATTTAAAAGTTGTATTGGTCATTTGGAGTTCTAAATAATATTCAAAACCTCATCTTTGTGTCTGGAATAATCCAACACATCAATCATGACTTCCTGAATTCAACGAGGACAATCTTTCCATCACAGAATTGCAAATAAACCCTAGTTTGCATAATTGCATTTACACTCAATCCCAAGAAGCTTCTTCCAAAAAATTCTTTCCCTCCACTAAAATTAGGGTTTTATATATTTATATACAGTGTTTGTCAATAATTTTCCATTTCAAATTGTTAAAGGGGTTTTCTTCTATTTGTATTGCTAGGTTTACTTATTCAATCGTAATAAATAAGGTACCTAAACATGATATTCGACCAAAATCAAGATATTCAATCAAAATAGTACTTAGTGTTACAAGTTTTTCAGCAGAGATATCATCACTTATCATAAGCACATGCAGAGGGAGGATACATGGGAAATTGTGTAACATGTTTCGTGAATAATGAGGTTGAATTTTGTCAAGAAATCAGCGTCAACCTAACAACTGCGTGTTTGACCAACGTATCTCTACAACACAAGTGTTTACCAATATAATCTGCAGAAACATTTTTTTCATTATTAATTAAAATTTATAAAATTATGAATAAAGTTTGTTAAATATAAAATAGATTCAGAAAGCAGAAGCTGTACGTCTAAGTTTCTTTTATTAGGAGTAAAATATTAGTAAATGTTCTTAAATTTTAGATAATGTTTTGGTCAAATTAGTATAAGAGTCTATTTATACTATACTAATAACAACAATATAAAGAAAATAATAAAAAAATAGATTTCTCCATGAGTTAAAACTATATTATGTATAAGTTAATTTGTATAAATACTTTTATATTAACTACTCTAAAAATATTATTTTTCATTTATGCATAATTTTTTATTATTTTACTAGTATTTATTAAATATTTATTCAAACATACTCTAAACACAGTTTGGATTAAAGTTATTTGTTTATTATAAATTATATAATATATAAACTATTTTTTTCAATGCACAAATTAAAATATTAATTATTATGGTGTCTTCAAATGTAAAGAAAAAAAAAGACAAGAGAAAAAAGAAATTAATTCACTTTTCAAAACCAAACATTAAAAAAAAAAACTTCCATTCTTATTTTGTTTCCTTCATTTAAAAAGTCTCATAATTTTTTGTTTATAAATGAATTAGAGAATAAATATATAGGAAGGAAAAGACAAAAAAAATATAATGAAAATATTATTGTTTAAATTAACATAAAATAAAGAAAGAAATGAAGACAAATCTTCACTATTATTTGTTAATTAAATGTACTTAACACAATCTTCATCTAACATGATTGTTAAAGCAGATATAACATAATTTAATTCGAACTGGAAATTTTACAAGGTCCCCTTTTTAATATTTCTCCAAAAAATTAAAAAATAAAATAACATTACGTGCCTTACAAGGTAGAGTAGATATCGTGTTCAATAACCCATAAAACAGAAGTGTCTCATGTTGTTTTTCACCATGGCTTCTAATCACGAAATAGGAACATGTTTTCATTATCAAAATGAGAAAAAGAAAAAGAGTGATAAACCAACCACACAAGTACAACTCTTGTTATTTCACACAGAAAAAGAAACAAAACAAATAATAATAAAATTGATTTGAAATGAAAGAAAAAATAACAGGGATTCAAACACATGACTTCATTCTATGCAACTCAGCACTGGTCAGAAAAAAGGTATCTTGAAATATTACCAAACATTTGGAAATTGAAAACATTGACGACCCTCAAGTCTTTAACAACCCACCACTGTCAACTCGAATGTATTACAATTTCATGACGGTGCACCGTGAAGCAGCGGATAATTCCCAAGGTAAAGTCATAATCTTGGCTTGATTTACAAGTGATACTGCATGTTTAGTCAGTGAAATCGGTGATGATGACGATGATGATAATATGAGGCGTTTAAATTTATTGGCTTAGTACAATCTTCTCAAGAATTTTTTTTTTATTTAATGGCATAAATATCTTCGAACAATATTAAAATACAAAAAATGATTAAGATAGTTTGATTATGAACCCAGGTTTTACTTTCTCCTTTTGACAACTGAAACAACACCATACTTTTCTTCATTTTCCTTGCTACTTCCCTTGGATCGGTTTCCATGATTTGGCGACGCTTCTGCTTCCAACATTATGTTTAATCAGTTTACCTTCTTAATAAGGTAAATTTTTTTTTTTCTAGAATTCTTTTCTGTTTAACTTTCTGAATCTGATACTTTTTTCTCTTTTTAAAACAAAATATTTGATGGGATGGCTTCTGTCGGTGGTCTTGAATCTTGATGCAGGAATTAACGATTTCAGTCTCTAGTATTGAGTCTTGGTGTTGTAACGAAAACTTGTAACTTCTTCACTTGTTCCATTAACTTATTTTCTACAAGTTGTGTTTTAATGTATGTTGCAGAGAGAAAACTGGTTTTTCTACCTGGCTCAGACTGATACCTTAATTTTTAGAAAGGATATTCAGGTAGTTTCCATTCTGTTTGTTTATCTATAAAGATAACGAGGGCAGTCATCTGAGGACTTCAAATAAGATCATTCTTCCTCTTCAACTTGTTGGAATTAGGGAGATGTTGGCTTGGTTAGATAGGATTATTATCAGTGTTTTGGGTTGATTTTTGGTACTCATGGCCTTGGTACCCTGTGCTTACTTGTGTTTTACTCTTTCCTTTACAGCTTTAGTCAATTTGCTAATTTTATCTCCGATTGGAACTCTCAGGCTACTAGTCTCAAATTTTGAGCTCAGAATGTGAGGAATTTGGTAATAATTGGAAAATAGTTGTATCATTCTTTTATAAGTTAAAATTAATGTATATCCAGGTTAGTTTGTTGGAGCTTTTTCATATTACCTTTTGTTTTAAATTTATGTATAAATTAATTTTAGTTTAAGAAAAAACAATCGTTTCTTCCTCTTGTTTTGATTTTTTTTAGTGATTATGAAGCAATTTATCCAAATAAAATCTTAATAGTTTTACTTTCTGCTTAGTGGTAGCGTATAAACTTCTACAAATAGTGTGACCAATTTAGACTCATTTTGTTTTTCCCAACTCTTGAAATGTTTTTTTTTACTTACAATAAAGTTAAAACTTCATACTTGTGAGGTGTGCATTAGAAGTTTATATTCCTATCCTTTGAGGTGTGGATTTCCAATTATTTTTCTGTCGTGGCACTAAAAAAGATACCAACATGCTAATAGGTCAGGGACTACATCTTGTAACAAGCTGAAGAAGCCCTTCCATTTTGACCATGACAACTAACTCATCTCTTTCTGGAGTTCACACAGAAAATCAAATTCTCTTTGAGGTGAGGTTCTGAAACTATCAATCCTAGATAGGCTTAGAAAAAGTATTTCCTTCAAAATCCTTAATTTTTAACTTATGTCATGCTCAGATTGAGAATTCTGAAAGGCAGTTGTGGGCATTGATCCATTTCAAAGGCCCATTACACTCTGATGTTCTAGTCTTGTATCGCAACATCAGGTCAAGTTATGAGAGAGCAATTCTCAGTAACCACACTCATTCAGAACTTCAAGAGGTTGAATACTGCTTGTGGAAGCTTCACTATAAGCATATTGATGAATTTCGTAAAATAATTAAGAAATGCTCTGGTAATGCAGAGAACAAGAAATCAGGAATGTTGCAAGATGGTGTTGTGCAGATAAACAATGATCATAATGTACAAGCATTTAACTCATTTCTTTCTAAAGCTACTGAGTTTTACCAAACTCTGATTGTAAAAGTCAGAAAACATTATGGAGTCCAAGAAGAGGCTTTGTTTTATAACAAAGGTTGTGTTTCAACTTCTTTTGAACCAGAATCCATGTTGAAATGTCAGTATTTATGCCATCGCTGCTTAGTTTGTATGGGGGATCTGGCCAGGTATATACAACAATATGAGAACCTTGATACTCAAAAGCATAATTGGTCAATTGCTGCCACACATTACTTGGAAGCAACAAGGATTTGGCCAGATAGTGGAAACCCTCAAACCAGGTAAACTTTTGATATTAGCTCAAAATTAGCTCTAGATCTTTTGCATAAGAAAAGTTTTTTTTTTTTTTTTTTTTTTTTCATGTATTCTCTTCCTTGCCTATTAGTAATTAACCTTGTTCATTTTGCAGCTAGCTGTATTGGCAACATATGTAGGGGATGATTTTCTTGCTTTGTACCACTGTGTGAGAAGTTTAGCTGTTAAAGAACCCTTTCCTGATGCCTGGGATAATCTTATCCTACTGTTGGAAAAAGTAAGATGATATCTGGTTTTTTTAATAAACTAAAATTGATTTTATCCATGTTTAATTTTTCTGATCTTCGTAAGTTCCCTCTTTAATGATCTTGCAGAACAGGTCATCTCATTTGCCAGATGTTTCCAATGAAGTCTGCTTTGATTTCTTGAAACCTTCTCAAAAGATCATCAAAGAGACTAGAGCGAGTTCAAATGATGATCACTCAAATTGCAACATATTTGAAGGTGAAAGTAATCAGTTTACTGACACAAAGTTATGGTCTCTTACAGTTAGAACAGTTAGTTATTTCTTCATATCTTCAAGGTACATCCTGGACTCAATTATTTTGTTCTAGAATTGTCTTGCTATTATCTTGCCATTTTAAATATTATTTCATTTTGTACATATATTTTTGAGTTAGCCCTTGATAAAATATAATTCGTTCATGTGTTCTTTAGGACATAATGCATCTTTGAAATTAACATGGTGGTCTTTCAATGTTAAATCCTTCAATAATTTAGGACTAGGCAATATACTAATGTTTGCCACTGTGATGAATTTACAATCCCATATAATTTTAGGTGTTGAATTTACAGTCCGACTACTATCTATACATTTGTTAGTTGCAGGAAGTTGAAAGAAACGTATTTGCTTAACAAATAATTTTCCAAGGATTAGATATAGACGTTTTCTTGCATATTATGATAAATTGGTAACCTTGGGAGTAAATATTAATACCGAAATATTGTTACATTTTTGCAACCAAAACATGTGAAACAAAAAATATCTTGATATGTGCATATTAACATTATTTTAATGTCTGCTACATAAAAAATGATGTTATTTGCCTCTTATCTCTTGAAGTTGTTTGGAGGAATTTCCCATTGCATTGGCATCTACTGTTGGAGTGTTAGATGAAATGATGGAGCTAGAAGATATAAAACTAAAGACCATGTTGGAGTCCTATGGACAAATGGATTTAGCTAGAAAGGGTCCTTTCCGAGCCTTGCAAATGGTTTCCATGCTCATATTTACACTAAAGAATCTAATTGATAAACACCAGACAAGTGAATCAAAAGACTCTAGTGATTGTCATCAACTTGTGTTGATACAGTTGGCATTAGCTGCTGCGTTCGTTGTGGTGGGTCGTTTTATTGAAAGATGTTTGAAATCCAGTCCTTTGAATTATTGCCCCTTATTGCCCTCTGTACTTGTTTTCGTGGAATGGTGTGCAAGCATGCTTGATGCAATTGAAGTATTTCTGACTGATCCAAAGAGTGCAACATCTATTTCTTACTTTTTCGATGTGCTTATTGAACTTCTAAATAAAGTAAATGAAAATAACAAGGAAACCAAGAAGCTTGTAGATAGTAGCCCTCTTTGGGAAGACTATGAATTGAGGGGCTTTGTGTTAGTAAGTTTTTCACATGACTTATTCGATTTCTCTAGTGGATGGGAACACATTGACAACTTTGAGAGTGGCACTGAATTGCGTACTCAACGCATTACTGAAGCAGCAATGAAGATTGCTAACAAATACGGTGATTTGAATAAGTGGATTATATGTGATGAATTAGAAAGAAAATTTTATTCTGCTAGATCTGATGAAAGTCATGAGAAGAAAGAAACAGATTTGGAGTCCCTCAACAAAAAGAAAAGTGGGGATGACCTTAATCCAAGTAGTGTCAGCATTAATGAAAAATCTTACGTCGTGGAAGAAGAAGAAGAAGAAGTCATTCTCTTCAGGCCTCTAGCAAGGTATAATTCGGCACCACCATACGTAATTTTATCCCTTGCTGAGCAAATGTCATCAACTAAAGTTAAGGAGGATAAAGTGCTAACTTCTGATGATTGTCTGTGTCGTACTACATCTTTGCCCATGGCACAAAATCCATTTCAAATTGATTCGTGGGGATTTCAAGGTGACATTTTGAATTCAACGATGAACGAATCATTCCAACTTCAAGAACCTTCATTAAAGGGATCAAATTCACATAGATTTTCTGAAGGTCCAATCTCTGCTGGTCATCCTTCACTTAATGCCTGGGTCCTCGATAGAGGAGGGTTGAGCAACAAGTTGCACCCCATTGAAGAACTAGCTTCTACATGCTTGGTTGATCTTTCTATCAATAGAACTCAAAATTCACTGATTAGTTCAGTGGAAGAGTTTCCAACCTTCCTACCCTCTTCTGCTACATATACCACTCCAATTCCTTCTGCTCCATTGTTTCCAGATAATGCTACTTGGTACACTAATGTCACTGTACAATCCAGTATGCCTGCTCCGTTATTGCCAGACAACGCATTACCAATAAATGGTTATGCAGCTTGGAGTTCTATTCATGGATCCATTCATTATGATACTAGTTTTCCATCTTATTCCAATGGATATCCGCCACCACCAGGTAATAACACTTCAGAATGGCTGCATTGGTACAGAGAGAATCCTTCACCTGAGTGGGTCAACAATCAGACGCAGCTTGCTCATTTGAATGTTCCTAGAAATCATGAAAGCTTCCTCCATCATGACGCCCACAAGTTAAACCAATTTGATCAATGGGGTAATCACCTGTCTTCTAACCAGTACCCGTATATGAAGCCACTAGGTCCCCTTCCATTGCAGCCAAGTTATCCGTATGCTTTTGGTGCTGGTGAGCACTTAATCGATCTCTTCCACAATTTTCAACGACCAATACCTTATGGGTGTGGTTATGTGACAGAACAAATAAACGAGTCATTGCCTCTGCTAGAGTACCTCAAGGAAAAAGAATGTAGACTCCAGCATGATCCTACCCTCAAAGGGCCTACATTCATGGGAAATTAGAACTTCTCATCTGAAACCCAGTCACATCATTCCAAACTATACACCTTGCTTGTACTTTGATTCCACACAACACAAAGGTATCAAACATTGTATGTATATAATTATAATTTATATAATGTGTATAGTGTTTCAAGTTTCCTTTATTCAATGAAAGACGAATTTCAGAGAAATTGATGAAATAAGATGACTGATTAAGCATAAATTTTCATAGTGCACATTTGTGTGTTGTTGAAATAATGGGGAGTTGTAAATATTTAGCCGTAGGGTAAGCGATTAGTGAAAATAAGCCCATCATTAATTGTGGTTTACTATATATAATGACTAATAAGAAAGTGCATGCAGTGACACATAATTAGTGACGGTAACCAACTTACATTGGATCTTAAGACTAAACAATTGTAGAGGTTCAACTTAAAAATATAATGATTGAGCTTTATAGGCGCAAATATTATAAGTTACTAAGTTATAGAAACTAAGAGACAATTGTACGTTCAAAACCAGTTTTATATAAAAGCATTATGATTGTGTTCCTAACCATGAACATTAAAATAATTTTGTCCCTAAAAACACTACTGAAAATGATGGTAAAAGTCCATAAAAAAAAATAAAAAATAAACAACAGAACAAAAGTTAATCTATTTTTTTAGGGGAGTTTCATTCCAATAATTAACATCATAAAGGTGTGTATTCAAAGTTCACAAAAATTATGTATAACGTTTTTAAGATTATTTAAAAACTAAAATTACCATACGTGATAATATGTAATTAAACGATCATGTAAATTTATTTTTATTGTTAATGTCTCTTTTTTTCCCTATTTTTAATTAGAAGGAACTGTGAAAACTATATGAAAAATTGCATGTAACTTTCCTAAAAATAAAACCCAGAAGGATACTAAATTTTTTAAATATTAAAATGAACCTAAACATTAAAATGTAAGTTCAATTTATTTTAAATTGAAAGGATTTTTCTGAGAAAAATAAAAACAGTCATTTCATGATTTCCCAGCTGTTTCCAAATACACGGTAAAATTAAGATAGTAACAAAAGCTAACAGAACATAACCTTGAAGTGTGAAATGAATCCATGAAACCTTTCTGTTTTTCTTTGAAAGTCAAGTTTTCTACGTTCAAACAAATCAAGTCCCATCCTTTTTTAGAATGAATAATCAAAATGTAAAATTCATCTGGAATATAAATATTTTACATTAGGAATTAACCTTTTTAAAATTAAAAGGGTGTAATTTGATTTTTTTAGTAAAGGTAGAATTTCCCTTCTTTGAAACATGAAACTCAAAATGCCAGAAGTAACAAGCCCAAAAATTTGGGTCATTTTTTAAAGCCCAATTAATTATACAAATCAAAATACTTTTCCTTTTCTTTTTTTTAAACTAAAAGGCTAAAACTGCTAGAATAAGAGTTCAACGGGGATTTGGGATTTGAGTCAACAGCTAAAAACCCTAAGTAAACTCCCTACAATTTGCGTTGCGAGATGGAACATCAGCATGCAGAAGCAGATTCAAGCGATGTATCATCGGCCAAAGCAGTTCTCCTTGGAGTTTTAGCTCCTGGTGTTAACGTTCGTATTTTCTCTCTGCGATCTCTTCCATTTTAATTTTTTATACACTTTTTTTCACTAGATTTGTGATTTTTGTTGTTGCCGCTGCTTTTTTCATTCAGGGTCCTACATGGATCACTTTAAAGTCGACTTTTTTAATGTTGGGTCTCTGTCTTGCTGTTATGCTGGCCTTGGCATTCTCTTCCAGTGATTCATGGTTGATGTTCCATGTTGCATTCTTTGTTCTAATTTGTGTCACCCTATTCTTCCTTCTCAGCTGGTACTTTCAGTCTTCCTATTTGTAAACTGTATTGCTTTCAAATTGAAATTGAGATTTCCCCATCATTCATGCTTCCTGTACAGTTTGCATCCCAATGGACTCTAAATTAAACATTTACCAACTAGGCCCTAATGCGATTTCCTAAATGACTTAACTTGCAAGTGTTGTTATTGTAGTAGTTAAGACCAAATTTGTGCTTGATGAATGAGTTAAGCCTTCAACTTATTGTTTTATAAGTGTGTCTGGCACTGGTACTTCACATTGCAATGCTAAATATTGTGTTGGATTGATACTGTTATAATTCATATATCAAATTTAGTTTTTCACAGTGCTATAGCATGGAAACGAACACATGTTTGTGTATGATTAGTTAGTTTATGGTGATTCTGTAGGTTGTTGTGTTCCCTTCTAGGGTAAGATTGCAAAAATAAAATAAAAAGGAAATGCATGTTGTATCATAATAGCATATGTTTAAGTAAACTCGTGAAAAGCATGCGTTTTTTTGACATCTTATCACGACTCAATTGTTTACAATTTTCTCTCTGGAATTTTTTCTATGCAGTACTGAATACGTTTTCTGTGCAGGTTTCTTGCACAAACTGGTTTAGTTTCTGTTGAACATCAAATGCGTGAGATGGGCTTAGAGCAAAAGGATCATTCAGAGAACCTAAAGAGCAAATGACTATCTCTTATAATACGCTCGAGGCTAGGGGCATTTCCGAGGGCACTTTCTTGAATTGTGAGAGAAACTTAGGTTGAAATTCTTCATGGTGAATTGAACAGCAAGCGAATGTCCCTGATTTTTTTTAGACAAAAAAACGAACTAGCTCAAAAGTTTATCGTCTCTCAGCTACACTTGGTTCCTTCCCTCTTCCTATGTTTCTTTTTAATGATATGATGAAACAGATGCATCAGCAGGGGAAACTTCCACAAGAATTTAGTTTCTTTCAAGATCTGCTGTTGTGATCTCATGAGTACATTATTTATGATGTGATCTGATAGCTCAATTTTGTTCCATTCTTCATCTTTTTTTTTTCCATTGTTGATGTTGCTGCTGTATACTTTGTAATCTTATACGTTGCAAGTTGTATAGATTTCCCTTTTTTATAATGATTTTATTCTTTCTTGCCAAATTTCCTGGTAGTTCTTTTGGGCTTTTGCTCTCACAGATATATTTGTGTGTTTTTTCTCTCTCCATACACAGGATTTCAAAGTATAATCATGATAATCTATACTTCTCAGCTGCTTATGTCTTGGTCTTTCCAAATATATATTTAGTCCTTATAACACATTTTGATTTTAGTCTTCATAACCAACTATAAGATTTTAGGATATCTTGTATGAAATATATGCATGAAGACTGGAACTTCGTTTATTCGAAGGAGTAACTTGATGCAGTGCCTGAGATAAAATCTAAATCCTTTAAGTATCCGAAATTTTAGCAAAGTACCTATTCTGTATCTATCTTCTAATAACGCTGCATCGACTCTACCTTCAAAATCTAATGCACTAACCGTGTGTATGAGAAATAACTGTTCTAGTTCAGTGTTGATGACGTTGAGAAGCAAAGAACTTAGTTTACGTGAAAAATCTTAATACACACATGTCCAAGATGTGACAACGAAACGCACTAAATAATACCCCAACATATTGATACAATCTGACACATCTCAGCAAAAGTAATTTTGCAGATTAGATGGACTGTGTTCGTCATCAATCATCGTGTTTTTTCTCCTTCGGACGTAATAATTTTTCCCTGTCGGTGGAAGAATCACACAATCCTGCAACTGAAATGGCCTCTTGGGATATAAAAACGAGAGAAGACAATTGAGTCCTCAACTATGATAAAGCCAAGCATAATTGGACGACCATAAATACAAATCAAACAAGGAGGTAAAGAATATATTAATTCAATCAGAACAAGTAGCTCTTTGAAGAAACTGTTCATTTTCATAAAACATTAAAAAAATTGAATACTGTTTCACTTGCTTAACAAGAACTACGACCAGCTCTATATCACAAAGATTACATCGGCTTCACAAATTTCATTACTTCCATAACTCTTCCATTGGAATTCCGCGCTCCTCAGCAACCTCACGAAACTGCTTCATTTTCTGCACAGCAATGATTGTTGCTCTGGCATTGTTGAGTGCATTATTACTCCCTATTTGCTTTCCCAAAGCATTCTCAACTCCAGCCATTTCAAGAACAATTCTCACAGCCCCACCTGCAATAACTCCAGTACCGGGAGAAGCAGGTCTAAGCATCACCTTGGCTGCTCCATAATCACCGTCAGATCTGGAAAACAACATACAACACAACAATAAGTAGCAGCTATCTAGAAGCATTTCATAATTTTAACTCATCAATCATTCATTTATAGTCATTGACATACTTCTACTCCTAATAAAGGTTCCAACACCCATCAGACTAAGCTTTTCAAATACTATTTGTATTAAAGAACTTCCAATACAATTTTATTATTACTTGCCAAAAAGTGATCATAATACTATGCTTCTTAAACCACCAAGTATTGCCACTTCTGATTTTTTTGGAATACAAGAAACGGACTAAATCAAGTACTCCTTCAATCACAGGCTTCACCTGCATGCATCAGCTTGAAGTCGAAGATGCATTCTCCCTTAAGCACTTCCAGGTAGTGTTCTAACTTATATGTTGTTCAATTTGCTCACTTCAACCGAATATAGAACTTTAACTCAAAATTGAACTCCAACAGTTTGCACTGACAGCCAACTTCAACCAACCAGGCAGAATGATAATCCAATATTTTCTTTAAGCAAAATCTGACATTTCGAAGGCTTTATAAAACCGTCCATGTCCATGATATTGGACAAAATATCGAGATTTTTAGCATCTTCGAGACTGCAATGCAAGTGCAGTTGCGATAGCATCAGCCGCATTTGTCTACCATTTTTTGCAAATATTAAGAATCCAAACAAAACTGTGACCACAATTAAAAAGTTTGGAACATTTTATCAAACGTTGAAGTAGAGGCCAATGTACATGGCCACTCTTCCACCTATTCAATATTAGTTCTCCTCCTTTATACTTAACAGTCTTTTTGGTGTTGGAAAGTGTCGACAAAGTCTGCATGGACGAATTTAACACTTTAAGAAAAAAAAAATTGAAATTGATGTATCTATAAGTTAATGATGTATAAACTCATTTCTAAAAGTTCTCACTAATAACTTTTTTTCTAATTGTTGTTTTTTTAATTTTATTTCACGGAGAGATTTTTTTTTTTTCTCTAAGCTAATCCAAACAATCCCTTGGAACACACTATAGCCATGGTCAAAGTCTGTCCCAAAACTCAAAAACAATTGCAGATTACCCACAAACAATATCTTCACACGGACAGCGAGATTGGAATGCACATCTTTATAAAATATGGGTTGGATCATTCCGTAAGAGCATGAAAGATTGACCAAAACACAAACAACTTAGAAATGCAGTGTAATGTAACGTTGAGAAAGTACCTATGGGGAAAAGTGGAGTACTTAGTCATAGGCACCTTCACAATGTTCCTCCTGGCATCGGTGGCGGACTTCTGAACAGCAGTGATGACTTCCTTGGCCTTGCCAACTCCCACGCCGACCTGGCCCTTCTTGTCGCCCACAATGACGACGGCCCTGAAGCGCAACTGCTTCCCTCCCTTAACAACCTTCGTCACCCTTCTCACCTGGACAACCCTCTCTTCGAACCCGTCGCGGACCTTCTCCTTCTTCGCGCCGGACCCGAACCCGGTGTCCTGCTTCAACTGGGAGTCCATCACGAACACGTCATTCCCGAGCACAGAGACGCCGCTGAAGGCGGGGCCGTAAAGCTCCTCGTAGGCGGCGGCGATCTCCTCCTCCGTCTCGAGGGGGCCATCGTCGAAGGAGGGAGGGGCGACGAAGTCCTCCGGAGGCTCCGGAGGGTTGAAGGTGATGTCTTCCTGCGGGTTAAGGTTGTCGAAGAAGGAGGTATCAATGTCATCGGAGGGTTTGGATTTGACGCAGAGGACGGAAGGGTGGTGTTGGGGTTTGGCGAAGAGGAGGGAGAGAGTGTGGGGTGGTGAGGGGAGGAGAGAGAAGCGGGAAGAGGCGGAGAGGGAGAGGGAATTGAGAGCGGAGGAAAGAGAAGGTGCGGCCATGGAAACAGGGAAAGCTTATCCTGATTGATCCTCGACAACACTCACACTCCCTCTGGCTTCGTCAGAGATGAACACTCTCTAAGCAAGAAAGTAAAAGAAAATAAATTCTTACCAAACACCAATTACAATTTGCCACGTGGAAAAGCATGGAAAAAAATTTGTAAGTGGAGAAATTAAGATGGATAAGTTTGAAAGGATAACCCATTTATAATTTTGGAGGATTTCAAAAATTTTAGAAGATTAACCTTTTCAATTTTATAAGAACGAACAATATATTTTATCTAATTTGAAATTATTAGGATTAAATCCACTTTTTGTCTTTACAATTAATATTCAATTATACATTTAGTCTTTTATTTTTAAATTAAGTAATTTTAATTAAATGTTAATACTTTTTTCTATTTCCAATAAAAATGGTTGATTTTAAGTGATTATAATATTAGCTACTTATTTAAGTAATATACTAAAAGTAATGTTTAATATATTAACATTGTTATTTAAAAAACAGTGTTTAATATTTGTGTTAGCATTTAGATATATATTATGTTATAATGAAGTTGCTTAATTTTGGAAACAGATAACCAAAATGCTATTAAATTTTATAGGACCAAAATTACATATCAACAAAACTACGAACAACAAATGTGAATTAAAGCTAAATTTCAAAATTGTAAAGTAATATTAAGATAAATAAATAAAAATGATGTTTACATTATGAATCTTTTAAAAAAAATTAGGATTGTTACATGTTAACAAAGTCACTTAAAATGGCCAATTGATTGATTAAATAATTTTTAAATCGAGGAAGAGAAAAATAAAAAAATATAAGAATACAAGAATGCAAATCCACTCATTTTATAATTAATAAAAATATATTTAAGTCTTTGTAAGTCTAAATAAAAGAAAAAAATGATATCATTCAAATTAAAAAAATTGTAGTTCACATATGGATTTTAGAAAATATTTATATATTAAAATTTTAAAAAATAATTATAATTAAAAATATTATATTTTTTCAGGTTATTGAAATATATAAATCTATTATAATATTATAATTTAAATTATAAAAATTAATTAATTAAATTTAAATTATTTAATTATAATTAGTTATTTTGACACATAAATATAATATTTTTAATTTATCTACTAAAAATATTATTTAATAAATAAAAACTTACAAATTATTTATATAATTAAAGATATATTTTTAAAAAAATATATAAAAAAAAACTATTAATAAGTTGGTCTACTAATCCAGGTTAAAGTTTATAATTCATTTTAATTATAATAAATAAGTTTGTTTTATCTTATTTTTAATATATTAGAGATGAAATAGAACAAAACAGGATAAATGAACTATTTTTTTTATTTATCTTCTCACATAATTATAAAAGAAAATCTGGGATATACGTGACACTTCATCTCAGCTGGTTTCTAGTTTTTTTAGTTATTAAAGCTTGTTTTATCTTATTTTTTTATAAAAAAGTATTATATTTTAGTAACTTGTAATGTTTTTTGAAATATTATTACAAGTAACATTTTTTAAAAGCTAGCTTGTAATATATATATATATATATATATATATATATATATATATATATATATATATATATATATATATATATATATATATTCGGCTTCTAACTTTTTTTATGTTAATTTGTTTTCATTCCTAAAATATTTATTAAGTTTTATTTTGTATCAATGAGATAAAGAATATTTAACACACTCTTTTAACTTCACTTGGACCTGGTTTATACGGTGCAGTTATTGTGAATAAATGTATAATTTTGTTATTTAATTTTTCTTTACTATTTTTGTTTTTGTTACACAAGGTAGACATTTATTATTTGTAATATTTTAATAAAAAAATATTCACCATGATAGAAAATGAATTTATTATTTTTTTAAGAAATTTTAATATTGTATAATTTCTTTTAAATATTACATTATTTATAATATTTATTTCTTATTTTTACATTATTTTTTAATATATTAATATTATAGATAAGGGATTTTTTTTATTATTATATTTTGTATTTTAACTCTTTTGTTGATAAACATATTTATTTCGATAAGTTTAGTTTTTTTTTATACGAGGTTTCAAACACATGACAATTTACAATCATAAATTATAATATCATTGAATTCAATGTATTTTTCTCTCTATAAACATGATTATGAAAATTAATCTTTCTTTAATGAAATCCATTCTAAAAGATATCTTAGATGGAAGAGCTTATATTCCATATATATAAGAAGTTTTATTCTCTCTCTCTCTCTCTCTCTCTCTCTCTCTATATATATATATATATATATATATATATATATATATATATATATATATATATATATATATATATATATATATTAGTACAATTTGATAGAGATGTAATAAATGAATGAAAGTGCAGAAAAGAATCTAATTAGAAACATAACGTGACATCCATATATAAGATTTTGTGAGAATTGATATGAAAATCACAACAAATTATTTGGTGAGATAATTAGAATTTAAATATTCTTCCTAAAAATATGAGATACACTAGAAATCAACTTCAACCAAAGATAATCTTACGAAAAGAAATGCATAACAACTAAGTGACTTTTATGTCTTATGCATGTGGATGGTATGAAAAATATGACCTATATCTTATTCACATGTTATAAGGTTGATAAAATATGAAAAATTTACTATTTATTATGTTAATTTCTTCTCTTCTATTATTGTGAATAATTAACCTCAAAATGGAATCTAGCAAGAAAAAGATACAATGGTATCGCATGTAGGATGGAGTACAATTCTTTAGTGTATTTAGAGAAAAAATAATTAAATATTTTTAAATAATGAAGATTTTGATGCGGAGTAATTAATACAATATTAGTTAAATAAATTGGTCATGGATGAAAATTAGAATCAAATCATTCCATATCTTATTTTCTTTTATGAGATGTAAATCCAATGTTGTGTTTAAGTGAATGATGAAGAACTTTAGAATGAATAGAAGAAATATGTGATAACGATAAGGAAATTGGATTCTTTGATAGTAATTATGACTATCATTAACTTAATTGATATTGAAATTGGTCTTGTTATATATCATATTATGGTGTTGGACTACTTTATTGCAAAAGTTTGTATGATTAGTCACGGATAATGTTTGGATTTTGGTGTTGTATAAGCATCTAGAATGTTAAGAGGTGAAAAGGGTAGTAGGGAGTGTAGGAATGTTCTTGATGAAATATTAGTACGGCTATATCAATACATTATATGACTAGTTATTATAACTTATATGGTAGATGTTATCTTTGGAAATGATGTCTTATTCGTTGACTATTTATATTTAGATCAAGTTTGCCTTGGATTATTAATAATCTAATATTGATAATCATAACTTTTATACGTTGAACGATTGGATGATATATTTAGTGTATATAGTTACAATTTTTACAAAGTTTATGTATATTAGTATTCCTGTACATCTACTAATTTAAATATGACCAAATAATGATAACTAATTGGGTTTAACTCGATCCTTATGCATGGGGTTGTGTCTTTATAGTGGGTGTTAATGGTTAGACATAATAGTGTATAAATATAGAGGAATATATTAATAGAACGAGACTTTTCTATAAAGGATCTTGTATACTAATAAAACATGATTATGCATAAGCAACCAATATTAGGATGAAAATTAGTGACAACATTCATGTTTGGCTACTTGGATAAGGGGGTTAGAAGCTAATGTAATGGTTATATAACAATTTTCTAATGTAGTTCATGTTTATTCATGCTTGACATAGTCTATCATCTATTGTAGTATGATTTTCTAGCTTATTTTTAATGTCTAAAGTAGTATGTTAGAATTTTACTCAATTTTTATGTTTAGGTGTTAGATTTGAAAAAAGCAAAATTGGACCCATATTATTATTACGTAAAGGATAACATTAGGATATAATCTTTTGACATTGATTGCATGTGGTACTAATAACTATATTTTTTTAATTAATTTGTATTATGTTTTTGTTCATTTTGACACTTCTTGTATCCAACAAATAAATCTTTATTTGATAATAAAAAATATTAAAATGTTTAAGCAAAGTTTAAGATTAGTACAACAATAAAGTAGACAAAGTGTTATTAAATTTGTTGCTTAAGAATTAAGGATTTAGGACATCGCATTAATCACTTTTACTTTAAAGAATCCTACTCTTTACTTGGAAGAATTCAAGTTATTATTAAATTATTAATGAGTACCTACAACTTATCAAGTCCCTCTCTTTGTTTACTTAAGTATTTTTTTAATGACTTTTAGTTAAATTTGGACCTGCATTAATTGTCAATATATATATTAAGAGAAATATCCAAAAAAAAAACTCAATATACTAATACATTGAGGCATAAAATCTACTAGTTGAATTGAAAGAGACTTTCATTTTTTTCTTTAAGACATTAAGTGGCTAGAACTTTTGCACTTGAAATTTTTTTTTTCAAGGAAAGTATTAAAACATATTTAAAACTAACAATTTCAAATAAACAAAAATAATAATAAACAACATCCCATGTTATTATGGTTAATTACATGGAAAGTAGGAGTAGCTTAAATCATATTAATCTCATTCAAGTCAATTAAATCTTATGCGATGACGTTATGAACTTTATATTAATTATAAGGAAAGCATGAGTTGTACAATTACTTTATATTATTAAAGTTCAAAGTTAAATTCTCATATTGTAAAATTGAACAAGAATAACAAGTTAGTAAAAAAAATTTATAAGTCTATATTTTAATATTTTCTATTGAATACATTATATTATGTGATTGATTTATGATCCATAAGTGTAATATTCTATCATGTGATTGATTTATTCAATATCCATATTTATTACTTGTTTATAAATTAATGAGGTAAACAACTAGTTTTAAATTATTATTTAAAATAAAGAATTAATTACGCAACAACAATAATCTTAATTTATTAAATTAAATTTTTTACTTTATAATAAATTTACCTTAATTTAGTATTTCATTTGAAAAATCATTAGTAGATATTACTTAAAACATGTATTGTCTCTTAAAATAGTCCTCTCTTATTGCTTAAAACACATAAATATGTGCTTAAAACATATTAATTAAAACACATAAATATGTGTTTAAAACATATTAATGATTTGTTTGAAACAAGGTTAGTTTCACTTAAAACACTCCTTATTATGTTATATCTTAAAATAAAAATTGTCTCATTTAAGATGCATTAAAATTCACTATGTTTTTTAACAAGTGCCTATGAATTCTATTAACCCTTTATTTCTATGTTGTTGCTTTTAACAAAATAATGATTTTTTAAATTATAAAGAAAAAAATATTTTTGTATTCAATTGAAACAAATCAGATTATACCACCTAATACTTTGCTAATGATTTCAAATTTAATGTGATGAATACTGTGATAACTAACTTCTTCCATCTCAACATTTCATTACTTAAATATGTATAATAAATTTGTAATGTCTTTTGTCACAAAATATTTAAAGATGATGATATAACTACAAAATTTTATTTTTTTCTTAGTGTAAAAAGTTACCGCTTTGAGTTGGAAGTGGACCAAGACTTTCTATTAGGAAATTTTTAGACTTCCAACCTAAAATCAATAACTAAAGGTTTGAGAGAGACATCAATTTAAATAAATAATCATTTATTGTTTTATATTTTTGGAGAGATTACACAAAATAACATTAAAAAACACACATAAATGCTATTTTTCATGTACTTCAAAGTTCACTATTTAATGTTTAGAATATTGTGTAAGTTCACACTTATTTACGTATAAGATACAAAACAAATGACACAAAGTTTCTTTCAACACTTTAACGTTACTTTTAAATAAGTATTTGTCATTTAATTGTTGAAAAACTTATATATATATATACTTAAACTAATTTTAATTAAAGAGTTTTAACTTTTTTATATATAAAAATTAAAAACTAAAAATTTATAACAATATATTATTTATTTGATTGATGAGAAAAAAAATAAAACATTTATCTTTTAAAAAAATATTTAAATATACATTTCACACCTTTTATTCCATTTCAAATTTGTTTCTTTTCTCGTTTTTTTATCCTTCGTCCCATATATAATTGATCATAACAAAGAGCATCACAGTTGAAATTTTAAATGTGTCTCCTCACCCATTTTATCTCTATTAACCCACAAACTAATAAACATAATACATAATGTGCATACAATAAAATATATCTAAAATTTTCTCTCTATGATCCACATACACCATTAACACATAGTTAGGAATGACATGCTAGAACACAAAATCACGTACTATGAAATATATTTAACATGTATCTTAAATATTTTTGTGATGATAGTTTGAATGAGGTCACATCCTGAAATCTTTCAAGTAGTCAAAGCTATGAAAATTATTCTCAATTTCAAAGATATTATCAAGTCCCTCATAGACATCTTCATCACTTATCAACATGTTACGACCATTGTGGGGTGTTGTTGGTGCTATTGGCGTGGCTTCTACAATTTCTTGGCTTGGTGCCCCTTTTGCAGTAATGTTCAACACTTCAACATCATTCTCTGCCATACTCATACGTAGTTCTGCTCTACATGAAGAACTCCCACCACCATTGAATGAGGTCAAAAGCTTGTTAGCATCTTCAACTTCTTTCTCCTGGTTAAGCTCCTTTGGAAAAATCTCCACATCTTCATTTGCAAATTGGTGCATATTGTTATAGTTGTCAGTGTCATGTGTATCCAAGGACACTGGTGCTTCTACAATTATTTTTTTTCTAGCCCACACATACTATTTTCTCTCCAACAAAAAAAAAAAAAAAAAGGTTCACATGAGACAGATACACAAAACAAAACATTGTAGAAACAAGATTGAACTTTTAGGTTAAAGAAGAAAGGTTGAAGTGTAGATATAGCAACCTCTAAAAATGTCACTTTCTGATATCCTTTTAAACTAGAATCTACAAGCTTATATTTCCTTATGTTGAATCTAATAATCAAATAATTATCTCAATTAAAAGGATTGAAATGAAATATACAAAGATATTTTTATAAATAAAGTAAAAAAAATTATAACTTTAAAAGAGATTATAAACTTTTGTTTAACGTGATCTTAAGTCAATGAGCCGATGAATTAATTTTGACTTAATTAAAAATTTTAAAAAATTATAATATATTTAAATAAAAATAATTAATTCAAAAAATATACAAAATAATTTTAAATAAATATTTTTTAATTTAAATTATTTTAATAAAATTAATTTTTATGTTATATAATAATTATATATATATATATATATATATATATAAATTATAGTAAAAGAAATTCATTTCTCTCTTAAAATAATAGATAAATAACTATTCTTTATTATTATAATTCATATTTTAATAATATCATAATTTAAATTATAATTTATTTTAAAGAAGAAAATGTTCGTAACTTATTTTTATAGTTACAGAATCATTCTTTAAATTAATTTACAAAATACATATATTTTAATAATTAAAAATATATTATTTTATAAAATAAACTTAAAACTAGTCTAACTTAATCTATGTAGGGCACAACTAAATGAATTAGGTCAAAATTTACATAATTTAATTTAAATTATAATTTTATAACTTATCCTAACTTATTTTTCAAAAAATTCAAGTCACTGCATGCCGATTAATATATTTTCTTATTATTCTAAATTAAAATAACACGTAGTTTTGGTTGAAAAATTCATGAGCATAATATATAAACTCTCATCCCAATATATGGTAAATAATAGTTCACTAAATTATACATAAAGGATGCAAACTAACCAGGTTTTTCTCTTCGTCCACATAAATGGTTATAAAATCTCCCATCTGTAGTCCATAATGGTTCACAAATTCCCCTGTTATATTGGATTAACAAAAATTATTTATTTATGATATCAAAATTAAAACAACTATGCTTAGTTGGAATGAAAAAGGAGATAAAATTTACCAGCATTTTCCAGAACATACATTCTACTTCTGTTATTAGACCAATACCTGTGTAAATAACACCTTATACATAATATCTTTGAATATAAAAAAAATACCAATAAAGAAATATTATAAATTACAAAGAAAATATTTACTTGTATCTCAAGGTCCATGACACCCCAGAATAAACATCCATAAGCATAATATCCTTTCCTTCCTTGTCTGTCAATGGTGGAAGCTTCGCCTCAGCCTCCCTCTATTTAACATATATATGTAACTTGGTTATGGCAAAAATATATTAGTTTTTGATAATGAGAAGGTAAAAGTTAAAGTCATTAATAATTAAAACCGTTTTTTATTTATCATGCAATCAAAGAATAATATTATATTTTTTCCACAAATTGTCCTAATACTTTATAATAAAAAAAGTAAGATAATCAATAAAAAGATGTTACAAAAGAATTTAAAATCATATATTAAATTTTGAATATTTCCTTTTCAAGAATGTTGATATTTTTGGCAAATTCACACCACTTATGTCAATGATTGAATGATTGAAGCTTAAAAGATAAGTATTGTTCCTTTTATTTTGTGCTAAAATCGATATGATAGGAAGCAAATAGTTATTGGGGGAGCTTGGAACAAAAATCATTATGTTTCTTTACTTCAATGCTTTGTATTTCCTTTTATATATATATATATATATATTAAATACAAAGAGAAAGACAACCAAATTGGTAATAGGAGAAAATATAAAACCTTACCTTTGGAAGCACAATCCGACCTAGGATGGTAACATCGCTGTTCTTCAACTGCTTTGTCAAAACTTCTTCTAAATTCTACATTCACGTGAAAATAATTATATATATATATATATATATATATATATATATATATATATATATATATATATATATATATATAAAATACCAAAAAGTGAAAACCCCACATTTAGGCATGTTTTATTCCCACTCACGTGTTTGTTATAAAAACAGTTCTTTTAATTAATGACTCCGTGTTCAATAATTGTTATTTTTTTCACTCAAAATTTATTAAATTTTGAAAATTATTTCTAAAAGAAAACAATTAAGATATTTTATGATCTATTCATTTATTTTGTTTTAATAGTTTATTAATTTCTCATACAAAACTGTTAAAATATTCTAGAAATTCATTGAATGATAATTTTAGAAAAAATTGAATCAATGAATAAATCATTAATGCACACACGAAAGCATTATTAGAAGAAAACCAATCACCTTCCCATCTGGGGTGGAAAAAACATTGGTACTGCTATCTTGGTTGGCTATGATATTCTCATTTGATCCCCCACCAGGAACAAATTGTCCCCTTTTTATTCCTTTTGTTGGTACCAAAGGAGCCATGGCAACAACACTTTTACTCTTTTGTCTTACTTGTTTCCTTTTGTCCCTAGCAACTTTGCTAGTTCTTGTGTCCATACTCTTTTGATATTCTTCTCCCTCTTGTTGTGACTAGCCTTGAACTTTTGAATTTGGTTGTCCATGAATTGCATTAGTTTGCCCTGTCCGAAAGGTATACAAAGCAGATTGATTCATTTGTTGGAACTGCATGTTTTGATCACTTGGAGCATAATAAGGGTCAGGAAAGCCATGTTGCCCACTATTGTCAACATGGAAGATTACATTTTGTTGTTGACCCATGTTTTGTTGTGCAAGGGTTGTGTTTGAAGAGGATAAGGTGGTATCAGTGTTACTTGTAATTAATGGGTTGGTGGTGGTTGCTGAAAATGGCACAAAAAAGTTGTCCATTTTGAGAAAAGATAGGCTTGACCTGTGAGAGAGGGAGAGTGTGTGTGTGTGTATGTGTGTGTATGGCTTTTATAAGAAAGGATTGGAGTGAAGTGGTGGTAATGCCAGTGAAGCATACACAAACGAACGTGTAAAAACAATGACAGAATGAAACAAATGATGGGTGGTGAATGGATGAAAGAATGAAGCCCACACTAACAAAATAGGGAAGGAGAAAGGCACCTAAGTGAGGTAAAGTGGGTGACAGGTGGAGGAAACGTTGTGGCATTGGGATGCACATCCTTGTTATAGATTTAGTCAAAGTGTAGTAAGCAAAACCACACAATGCATGTTCGAACTCAAAGAGTGAATCTGTTACGAAAGATAAAGCAAAAGAAAACAGAACGGAAAATTGTGCTAGGGCATGCATCCATTGGAGTTCAAGCGAGCGTTATGGTATCATGAAGTTCTTACCTCGTAAAGTTGCAGAACAGTGTGCGCCCCATGGGTTGTGTTAGGTGCCTTGTGAAACTTGTCTTTCGGTTATAGAAAGGGTAGTAGAAAGGTGTGAAAATTATTTATCTTTTGGTTTTGCTGTGGTTGGCGTCGCGGTGTGGTGTGGTGTGGTGTGGGGGATTGGGAGTTTCATGAAACAACTCAGCACGTATTGTTTGCCAACTAAGAAAGAGTTGTAAGAGCGTAGTGTGAGAAAGAAAGTTGAAAAACAGATAAATTTGAGCTAGCTGCAAGGTTGATACAGATTAATTTCTACTAAACTAAAAAACAAATGTTTCAATTATAACTTTTATTTCATCACGTAAAAAAATGATCGTAAAACATTCTCTATGTGAATTATGACACGTAAAATTAAGAGATCTATGATTAATCTAAAACTTGCAATTATGACAAATATTAAAAATAGATGAATAATGCATAACACCTAAAATTGTTAAAGGAAAACTATTCAAAATAAGAAAAAAAAAAGTATTAAACATGCTATAATATGATGATAGATACGAAGAGAGATAAAAATCAACTATAGGCTTTTGAAAATAATGAATATCCATATATATATTACTCGTAAAAATAAAATTATCGAATTTATCTTAAATTATAAATTATTTTATTAAGGCTAAATTATAATTTTAATATATAAATTTTTACTTATATTTAATTCTGTCTCGTATCTTTTTAAAAAGTTCAATTTAGTTTATTAAGGTTTTAAATGAATAAAAAATTCTCATTTCATTAATATAGAGTTAACCTTGTTTATTAAATTTAAACATATTGGTGATTTAAAGCCCCACAAAATAATAACTGTTTTGAAGTATTTTTAGTACATATAATAGTGGTCTTAACAGTTATAATAATTAAAAATAAACACAAATCTCATTTATTTCTTTTCCTCCACATTACTATCACATTTTATCTTTTTTTTTTTTCATCTATCTAATCTCAAGTTTAACAAGGAAAATATAAATTGACGGAACAAGATAAATTTGAATTTTTCTTTCATTAAAAAGGTCGAAAGGGAGATATAATACAATCCTTATATTAACATCATCTTCTTCCTATTAATATTTTAAAAATATTTTTTTTATATATGATTATTTTTTATATTTTACCATTTTTACTTTTTTTCTAATTTTTTTTATCTTTTAATCTTTTATCAATTAGTTTGTTACATTATTTTCTTTCTATTATCTTTATCTTATTTACACTTTTTTAATCTCCTCAAATAATTATGATTTTTTAATTTTATAATTAATTTGACAAATATAAAGTTAATTTTTTTAAATATTCTATATCCATCTTAATAATAAATAATATTATTTTATTTTTAATTTATCTTTATTAAATTTTATTATATCATTTTTATTTATTTATCATATATTAAATTTTATCGTAATAAAATAATTATATTTTGAATAATTAATAATTAAAACTTGTATTACTTTATATTAATTAAATAAGAATTAACTTATTAAATATTTTCTTATAAATTATATATTTCATATTTTTAAATAACAACTTATAAAATAATTAACTTATATATACATAAATATGTAAATATAATAAATTAGAGTATATATTTAATTGATAATAATAATTATAAATTATAAATATTTATTTATTTAAAAAGTAATAATTTATTATAAATATATTATTTTTTAAATAATATAAATAAAAACGAGACGTGAAAAAGAAAACTTGAAACTCAACGAATACGATATGAGAATTTAATTTATAATATGACAGAATAAAAAATGGAGGCAGTGATTAAAATAGTCGAAGTTGATCGGACAAACAATATACTTGACCATAAAACCACATCATAGGCGTTCCTTCCCCACCCCATCTTCGTTATAGTCTGCATCAAATTTGTGAAACTACACATATGAGATCCAAATTATTTTAATTTAAAGACGAGATAGACAAATAATTTCATTTAAAGAGGTATTGTCTATCATTATTTTCTATTCAGAAGAGTATCTTAAGCTATATAAGACTAATGAATAATTATGTTATTTTTTCAGAAAAAATAAAATTACATCCATTAAATAATTATTTTCTTTCTTAAAGCAGGTTTAGAATAAATGTTTAATTCGTTACTTAATAAAAAAACATATTTTATAAACAAATACATTAGAATTAATTAAGGTGATAGTAAAACTTATTAAAATTAAAGTAATATTCTACCAATAAAGTTATTTAATAAGAAAAATAATAAAAAAATATAAAAATATTTATTTGTTTATTTTATTTATTATATTTAATAACGATAATTTATTATTTTTAAGTTATAAAAAGTGAAATATAAATAAAAATATCATAAAAATATAAATATTTATAAAAAATACATAAAAATTTAAAATTAACGTCACATACTGATACGTGAATAAATCTAATAATCTAAAATTAACTTATTCACTTTATTTATACACCACTGTATCAATTTCGAAAGAGAGGCCTGGGTCTGATTAACTTAGTGTCTACAGGTTTTGGTTTCTTCGGATCAATCGAGGCCCAAAACAGTGAAGTAGAGGGTATAAAAGCCCAAACTCAACAAAACCCTAGCTCTCTCTGTCGTTACCGAGTTTATCCTTTTTGTTTTTATAGTTTCCAAACGCACGCAGCGAGTTAGGCGCGGCGGGATCAGAAGGAACTTGCAAGATGAAGGTCCTCTCTCTAAACCCTAGTTGCTTCCGTTTTCGATCTTTTCCCCTCCTTTTCTCTCTAATAAAATCTCTCTAAAATGTTCCATTTTTCTGCAGTTTAACATTGCAAATCCCACCACTGGATGTCAGAAGAAGCTGGAAATCGATGATGACCAGAAGCTGTAATCATTTTTGCTTTCTCTTCCATTTTGCAGTTATCTTCTGTTGTGTTGTGTCTCGCATATTCTGCTTATAATAATGTTGCTTTGTGCTCTGTTTTTCCGACTATTGATTACGATTTCGAATTTACATTTTTTTTGTAGTTAGATTGTTTTTTCTTTTGGTCGCCATTTTTTTAGCTTTATGATTAACCTGTCCCATGATTTTAGTGCAAGTATTTGCTACTTGCATATCGGACTACATGCATTATAGTTGACTTTATACTTGTTGAGATTTAGTGTTGGCTATTACACCGTGTAAGTCGCTATGGTGGGTCATTTTTATTTAAGTTTCTTTTGGGGACCTTTTATGTGACTTGTTTATTTAGTGTAAGTCGCTATGGTGGTTCATTTTTATTTAAGTTTCTTTTGGGGACCTTTTATTTAGTGTTCATCCGTTTTGAATTGCAGTCGAGCATTTTGGGATAAGAGGATCTCTCAGGAGGTGCTTGGTGATGCCCTGGGCGAGGTATGGTCATTTGCTGTAAATCTTATTTCAATGTGTTTTTCGTGTTTTTTCGAGGAGCATTATTAACCTCATTAATTTTGCTACTGAAGGAGTTTAAAGGATATGTTTTTAAAATCACTGGTGGGTGTGACAAACAAGGCTTCCCCATGAAGCAAGGAGTGCTGACCCCTGGTCGTGTCCGACTCTTGCTCCATAGAGGTGGATTCTTAATCTGTTGTTTTTTGGTTCATAAATTTATAAACCAATCGTAACTATAGTTGATTGATGTTTTGGCAGCATTGTTATGGATGTCATGTTCTACTTTTGGATGTGGTCTTGATAATTTAAGAATATATTTCCATTTATCTTACATGCATACTTTTTTAGTATTCATACTCCCTGCCTCTTATTTTACTTGTATTGTTTTTGATACAGGGCACCCGTGTCTTTATGCAATGACTTATAGTTTTTACTAGTATCTTGATTATTACCAGGATTCTCAGCCTTTTCTTTTTTCCAGACTTAATAATTTTTTTGCATTTGAGTAGGAACTCCATGTTTCCGTGGATATGGAAGGCGCAATGGAGAGCGCAGAAGGAAGTCTGTCCGTGGGTGCATTGTCAGCCCAGACCTCTCTGTTTTGAACTTGGTGATTGTGAAGAAGGGTGAGAATGATTTGCCCGGTCTCACTGATGTTGAAAAGCCAAGGATGAGGGGTCCAAAGAGAGCATCAAAAATCCGCAAGCTGTTTAACCTGTCCAAGGAGGATGATGTGAGAAAGTATGTTAACACATACCGTCGAACCTTTACAACAAAAGCTGGTAAGTTTATGCTTGGGCAGACTGAGATAAATTTGAAAATGAAAAATAGTGTTAACTCATTAGTATTTTTTATGGAGCGAGAACTGCATAGTTCCAAGTTTGGATTTAGATGGATATTCTGATTTATTTTCAGTGAAGAAAAACTTGAATTTCACTATTATTGTGGCTTAATGTAACAAGTCCCACATTGGGGAGGTCTCCTTACCAGGGAGGCCTTATAAGGTAGGAGGTTCTCCAACCTCTTGAGCTAGCTTTTGAGGGATGGTTCCCCTCTTAGCCTTATGGTTGTTACAATGGTGCTTTCATTGAGAGCCAGCCAACTCGAGAAGGGCTACCCACGGAGGGTTCTGACCGCCGGAGGGTTCTGACCACTGGAGGGTTCTGACCGGTAAGAAAGCCGAGTAAAGTGCTAGTGAGTGAAGTGCCGGTGAGTGAAGTGTCGTGGAGTGCAGCCATCGAGGACGCTGGCTTTCGAACGGGGTGGTATTGTAACAAGTCCCACATTGGGGAGGTCTCCTTACCAGGGAGGCCTTATAAGGTAGGAGGTTCTCCAACCTCTTGAGCTAGCTTTTGAGGGATGGTTCCCCTCTTAGCCTTATGGTTGTTTCACTTAACCTTTGCATATGGAAAAATTTAAACAATTAACATGTACAATTGAGAAATAATCTCCCTGCGCAATCAAGTAACGCATATTTATGATTCGCTGTGATATATTGCACCTGATTTATGGTTGATTTAATTTGAAATGGATAATTGGTTACAGGGAAAAAAGTGAGCAAAGCTCCAAAAATTCAACGACTGGTCACTCCTTTGACCCTTCAAAGGAAGCGGGCAAGGATTGCTGACAAGAAGAAGAGAATTGCTAAGGCAAAATCAGATGCAGCCGAATATCAGAAACTCCTTGCTTCCAGATTGAAGGAGCAGAGAGAACGCCGGAGTGAGAGCTTGGCCAAGCGAAGATCCAAACTTTCCATTGCTTCCAAACCATAATTTGCTTTCTGGTAGAGATCTGGTGAAGTTTAAACTTCACTGTAGTTTTTGGGAGTCTAGGCTGAGGGAGATTATGATAAAATATGATTTTGTAATTTAAATACATCCTAGTTCATTAAGTGTTTTCCAATGAATTTTGCTTATTTCGATTTGAACTTTTATATATTTCATGTGTTTGCATTTGAAAACTTCACATTATATTTCACTCTGCACATTGGATAAGATTAACACAAAACTAGCTTTTGTAAGTTTATGCTATATATTTTACTAGTATTTGGTGCTAGTGATAATTTTTTAGTTATTGAATATTAAGATCTTTAATTTTAGTTCTTAAATATTTTATAAAATATTTTAAAGTATTTTATATATATATATACACTATAGAGGGTTATATTAAGTTGGTAACTATTTCTTACCCTTTAATTTTTTTTAAATGTTAGTGACTAAATTGAAAACATAAATTGTAATTAGTATATCAAGTTATTTTATATCCATACACTTGTGAACATATTAGGCAATACAAAGAGGAATCTTTGTGAGGCTTTATGCAGTGGAATGGAAATAACTTGAATTTATAGCTCATGTAACTTCCAGAACTAAAAGAATTTTGAAACTACAAAGAGAATAGCTTAATCAAGTGAGTCGCTTGTTAAAAGGAGTTGTATTAAGTTGGTAATTACCTCACTCTTTAATTTTTGGAAACACTAAATTGACTAAACTCAACATAAATAATAATTAATAGGCCATGTTATCTCCCATCCATTCACTTGTGAACATAGACAAGACAAAGAACAGTATTTGAGAACATTCATGAAATGATTTGGAAACAACTTGCATCTCGAAGTGGTTTTGTGTGATAACTTTGAAACCTAGATACATGCAAAATTTTTGTTGTAGAACTTAATAAATTTTGACAATGAGCTACAAAGTTCATGGAACTTGAGTAATTAAAAGATTTTTGAAACTACACTAGAATCCAGATTACCTTTCAAAAGATTAGTTTTAAGGGAAAAAATGTATGGGCCACATTTCTCTTAATAAATCTTGTTAAACACTAATAGGAAGAGACATTCAACATGGACCTAGTTCTTCTATCGAGAAAGGTCCTCGTTCCAAGAAATGGTGACCATAACAAACATTGTTGTTACCACCACAATTATTGACATCTCCTGCCAATTGCTTCATCTTTAAGGATAAAAATGAGGAACTAATACAATCTAGCCATTTGCAAAACTTTGTAGAAGAAATGATAAACATGAAAGAAGGTATAGTTCCAGAAGATATTTCAAAGTTAGACGAAAAAGACAACCCAAAAAAACTCCTAAAGGAAGACGACAACAACTAAAAAAACCAATCCCTCTTAAGAGTCATCAGCACAATAACGCCAAACTCTAACCTTTAACCCTAAACGCAAATCATAAACCCAAAAAACTAGACCATAAACCCTAAATTTGACACAATTATTTAAATATAATAAGTTTTTTACCCTTTTACTTAGCATTTTATTGTTGATTTAATCTGAAATTGATAATTAGTTATAGGGAAAGATATGGGCAAAGGTCCAAAAGTTTAACTACCGGTTACTCTTTTGAATCTCCAAATGAAGCAAGCAATGATTGCTGACAAAAAAGAAGAGAATTGTTATGACAAAATCAGATGCATCAGATAATAAAAAAAACTCTTTGCTTCCAAATTGAAGGAGCAAAGAGAATGTCGGAGCTTGGCCAAAAGTAGATCCAAACTTTCCGGTGCTTCCAAATCGTCTTTCGCAATGTAGTGTGTTTTTTGGTGAAGTTTAAACTTCACTACATTTTTTTAGAGTCTCGATTAAGGTTATTTATGATAAATATTTATGGTCTTACAATTTAAATACATCATTTTTCATTTAAGTATTTTTTAATGATTTTGCTTAGTTAAATTCAAACTTGTATATATTTAATGTGTTTGTATATATAAAACTTGATATTATATTTTAGTTTATATACACTGGTACGAAGGTTAACATAAAAGGTAGTCTTAGATTATTTGAAACGTAAAAAAAAAAAAATTATGTAGATTTGGTTCTATTCGTTTATATATATATATATATATGACATATACAAATTTAAATAGAAAAATAGGAGGGATTCTAATAAAATGAATTGATTGGTTAATAAAAATTATTTTAAATTCTTTAATGGTGTAAAATTTTCTAATGTGTGCCCAAGTATTTTCTAAAATATTTCTGAATAACCATAATTTTTACTCTAGTTTTCATTAAAAAATTTAAATAATTTTAATAAAGACATGAATTGTTTCAAATTAGACAAAATTGATTATATAAGTAATTTAAAATAATTATTTGTAAAATATATAATAAAATAATATTTTATTTTAACAACAAATTTTATAACTAAATCAACAATTTATAGTTGTAATTTACATGATACTATATATATATATATATATTTTTTTTCTTTTATATTTTTATATTGGTTTTTATTTTTGTTTCTGTTTTTTTTTTGTCAATGCAAGTTAAAGAAAACCGTATCATGATCATGTAATTAGAGGAAAATATAAACCAAATATTAATATGAAAATAAAGACTTCAATGTTGTATACCTCTCATCCCTATTAGTGTTCCTCTTTTCCTCTTTTAACCTTATTCTTATCAAATATTTCAAAAAGTGATAGCAATGGTCCATATTCTGATATTTTTACTCTATTACTATTAACTCTATCAGCCACGTAGGATATTAACTTAAAATTCATATTAATATATTACATAAAACTTCGATACAATAACTCTTCTTTTTTTCATTGTAATCAGAGAATCTCACAAATAACATTAGTGGTTGTGCATCTAAGTTTTATGCTACTATGTTAATATCAGAGTATTACGAGAATTTAATTTAATTTTGGATGTCTTTTTTTTTTTTTTTTTTTTTTTTTAAGTTTAAACACAAGATAAACATAGTTTAATCTTAACATTTATCATCCCGATCAATTAGTGTGTTTATAATATAATCTCATTAATATAGAACATTATTTACATTTTCCAGAAAATGAAATAATGTCTTTAAAATTAGATGAACGAAAAAAAGTAAAAAAGTTATTAATATTACACGGATTAAAAATATTAAGTCTTATTATGTTTATTTCCACATTTTATTATTTTATATTTCAGTAAATTTTTTATTAGTATTTAGTGTTAGTAATAATTTTTTAATTATTTTTAATCCTTATATATTAGTGAAAAGTTTTTCAATATCATACATTAATCTTTATTTAATACAAGTTAGTTGAATATTATAGGAAATGTCATATTTTGGTGATTTTCCGGTTGGTTGAAAAGAATTGTATTAAGTTGATAAACATATAAATTTAAAACATTGATGGTAAGTAAAAAAAAAAGTAAATAATTAAAATTATAAATATATAAATAAATATATTGAATGATTATTAAGGTTGAAAGAGTAAAAATCATTAAAACATATCAATTTCTGAGGGTCATGATCCCCTTGTGTCCAAAAAAACTCTATCAGTGCATCTACTTATATAAACATTAGGCAACACAAAGAAGAATTTATGAGAATCTTTGATGGAATGGTTTGGAAACAACTTAAATCTCAAAGTGCCTTTGCATCATAGAACAACTTTGAAGCTTGGACCATTCCCAAGTAATCTATGCAAAATTTCGCAGACCTTAATGAATTACAACAATGAACTACAAAGTTTATGGAACAACAAGAATTTAAAAAACTATTAGTTTTGAGAAAAAAACAAGGGAAAAAACTTGCATCACTAAACATAACACACGAATCGCACGGGCCACGTTTATCTCATTATACCTTGCTAAACCTTAAACAATAAATCTCTCTGACCTTTATCCCTAATTCAAATCATAAATCTTAACACTATCCCTAAACCATAAATCATAAATATTAAATCCTAAATTGTAGTCATACTACTGATTATAACACTAACACTAACCATAATCATTATCTTAATCTTAAAACTTATCTTAAAGCTTGAATCCTAACTAATAAAATGGACTAGGTCTGACGAGTTAACTCCCTATAAATATGACAGGACAGATTGGTGATTTTAGCCTGCTAACCTGTTCTGATTCGTCCTATCAAGCCTACCAACCCGTTGGATTAGCTAAACTTGCGATCCACCTAATTAATAAAAAAAATATTTTTTATTATAATACAATTAGTCATAAAGACGATATATAAGATCCAAATTTGTAATTTTTTTTTTAAATGTTTCACTCTCACTCGTTATAAAAAACATTATCTTTACTCAAACACAAGCTACTTTCTCATCTTATCCTTATTACTCATCTTCTCTTTGTGTTATCTTAAGCTTTAATTGTTCTTATCTCATGACTTGAATAGAAAGAGTGGAAATTACTCAAAGAAAAAATAACAAAGTTTTATCAAATAAAAAAGATATAATAGTTGAATTTTTTAATATAAAAAATATAAATTTTTAAAGTTTTAATATTTTTATGTATATTTGTTATTATTTATTATTATATAAACTTTATTATTGATCTAAATTATAACTTTTTAAAATAATATGTTATTTTATATTATTAATTTGAAATATATATGATGAATTATTGACAAATAAATGTCAATCTTATTATTAAATTTATTAAAAATTTTGATTAAAAATAATTTATAATGGTGACCATCTTGACGGTCCCGAACCCATCATTTGCTGGGTTGAATTAAGGTTTATAACCCATCATGATTATAGTAAATTAATGCACTCCATCTCATTTTTAAAAGGCTAAAGACTGGATGAACCAAAATTAGACGAGCAAAAATTGGATGGATTAACCTGTTTTGTTATCCCTAACTAATCATAATTAAAACTATGACCATAAAGCCTAAACCATATCCTTGAACATAAACACTAAACCTAACCTCAAACTCTAAATGTGAACCATAAACCTAACTCATGTAAAAACACGTTAAATTTTATACCCTACTGTTAAATCTAAACACAAAACATAACTTTTAACCTAACTCTAACCTTAAACCAACACATAAGCCCTAAACCCTATCCCATTACATTGACCCTAATCTTAACCTTATTTCTAATCCTAACCTAAACCGTAACCCAAAATCCCAATTCTTGTGCCTTTTTTCCAACCCATACTCGGAAACGAAAACTTTGGCAAGGAAGGGTTCGCGAGACTTGCTTTTTTATTATAAACAAACCTTTTCGAACGCTCCAATTTTTTCTTTTAAATTGTACCTCCTTATAACATTAACTTTTTCAAATTTTGATAACCTTGTGACGGGAACATTTTTTCCAGGTGCCTAACCCCAGTTGGCGAACCAGCTCGTGCACCTTCAACTTGACTTGTTGCAAGCTGCGTCATTGCTGCAATCCAACACACGGTTACTCTCGCCACTGACCCTAAACTATTTGGCCCAGTACACCTTCACAGGGGCTATTGGGCTTGTGCCTAGGTCCATTATCTTTGCTCTCCCAGACCCACAACCTCTACCAGTCCACTTTCTCTTACTGTTTGCCCAGCTTCAAATTACTCAACTTCTCTCCCTCAGACTTGGGCCTGTGGCGCAACCCATTAGGATCATGTACACCCCTCTTCTCAAGAATTCTTGAAGATCTTCTCTCCATTATATCGACTTGGTTGCATTGCAATTAGAATTTTGAAAAGGTGATTTTTCAAGTTTCCAACGAAGAAATATAAATCCGGAGGAAGCAATTTCCACAGGAGGAAGCGCGTCCATTGGTCAAATACAAATAAGCAGAGCCCAACGGGCACACAGACTCGACGTAGTTCCTCTGCTAACGGCCACGGAGGCTGCAAACGAGAAAGATATTCTCAAACCTCTCATCTCAACTCCACTACACCACACCGCTTCACATTTTTTATTCCAGTCCAAGTTATCCTATAGGTATCTTTATCTCCCACCGTATCCAGTTCCAACACACTTCCACAGTTTCAAATTCCGGCGAGGGAATTCATAATTGTCGCGATTTTTTCTAGTTTCATTTCATGGAGACGCAACCGCTTGAGGTTTGTGGATTGTTTGTGCTTCCGTTGATTTACCATGTAGTTTAGGATTGTGCCTACAATGATTTGAACTGTCTGTAAAATTCTGCAGGGTAATATGCTGGGCGAGACCGGTTATGCAGGCTATTCTTAGTGCCCGTGCCCTCTATACGGTTGCGGATTGTTAGTCCCCCGCTCTACCCGCGATCCTCATTCATCACCCTATTGTCAGTTCAGTTACCTGTGCTTCACTTTTTCTGCAATCAGTGGCGTCTCACTTCTTTGGAGTGTTATCCTCATTGGCACCATCTTATGACATCACTGACTAGAGTCTAGAGAAGAGAATGGACTCGGTTTTTAATGCAGCCGTGGAAGAGATATGTGGTGAGATTGAAGATGGACTTACTCTTGCAGCTCTATGGACCAAACTTCAAGGCTCACCCTCGCTTTCATCGTTCAATCTCCAACTCAATCCAACCGTCAAAAGAGCCATATGGACGAACCTCCTTGGCATTCCCACTCTCCGGTTTGAGCCACAACCTTTTTCTTTGGAATTGGAGGATGCTGAGAAGCTCAATTTAAAGATCTTTGCTCAACCGAGTCTTGCTGATAACTTTCTTGGCCTTTACGACTCACAATCTCTCCAACATGCCCAAATGAGTGTCCTTCGCCTTCTTGCTAATGCTAGAGCCAATGGTATCACTCAAGCTCAGCTTGCTAAACAGTTACACATTGATGCAAATAACTTCCATTACGTGTTGAGGAGTCTTGAGTGTCAAGGCTTAGTTGTAAAGCGCTCTGCAATTGAGAAGAAGAAACAAATCTCCAATCATGGTGAATCCAAAAATTATCTTTGTGTAGCTACCCATTTAGTATACTTACGACGATATGCGAAACAACTTGCCTCTCATCAAAGGTTTGAGTTTGAAATTACCGAATTCAACTCCCCTGACGGGGAGAAGGATGCAGATGGAACCACATTTGAAACAGATGTTCAGCTTAAGGATCATACACGTCAAATGCAAGCTATTTGTGACAAGCTTGCAAAAGCCAATGGCAAGGTTCATTTTTATCAATTCTGTTTAAAGTTGCCAACCAACTAATCTCATCATTTATGCTCATGTTTTTTTGTAATCTATTTCTTCAAGGTTCTTCTTGTATCGGATATTAGGAGGGATCTTGGTTGTTGTGGATCGCGTCCAAGACAAAGGGCTTGGAGACAAGTATGTTTTCTGACTTTGAACTTTCCAAAAATTATAACTATGTCTTCTGCTATATCCAGATAGCCTTATTGCTCGTGTGACCAGATTTCTCAAAGGTTGAAAGCAGATGGTATTGCAGAGCAGTTTGATGCTAAGGTGAATGGCAAGGTTGGTTAGTTTGCACTATATTCATCGCTTTTATACCTCAATCTGATCATGATTTTTTAGTCTCCGCTGCAGAGTGGAATTGTCTCAGTAATTTATTTCTTATCAAGCATAATAATCATCTTCTCCTTATGGGAAGCAGATTCAACTTATCAGTCACATTCTTCTGTAAAAATTAATAATAAATAAAGCAGTCACATTGTTTAGATTTGCAAATGCAATGTATCATTTTCACCCTTTAATCTCTAAGTATGGCATCTTTCTCCTGTTGCCAGACAAGAATGAGCCGAATTGAACTTCTAATTGCCTGAAAACATAAAATGTGGTTATTTGGTGATTCTGTATTTTAATACATTCCTTTCAAAAAAACATGGCAGGGATGACAAATTCTACACTATTCATGTCATGAGAAACCAAACCTCTTTTTTCAGCTCCTATTGTTCTGCCTTTTAGATTAATATAGATTGATATATCTAATGTTTATACCTCATGGTTACAAAGTCAAATGTTACCCTTTATATCAATTAAATATTTTCAACTTTATATGATCAGTGGATCAACCAATTACATCCTCCCCACATCACATAAGTTGGTATAACTTGTGGTGACAATATAGATGTAAATCTTTACATGTTCACAGATTGAGGCTTGCCTGCGGCTTCTTGACCCAATAACTGCTGGATCTGGAAATGAAGATAAAATGTTGAACTCCAGGAAAATATGTCAAGTAATTGATCAGCTTGTGGAGCTTCCGATTGAGCATCAAATTTTTGATATTATTGATGCTGCAGGATCCTGTGGCATTACTCTCAAGGAGGTAAATCTTTTATTCTTATATTCTCTTCTCTGTTAAGACATGAAAAGATGTCGATTGTGATAAAAGAGAAAGAATTAATGAAAGTTTGAGTCATTGATTTATATTGTTTAAGACATTGATGAATTGAGTAGGAGAAGAGATGATCATTTCCTTCTAAAACCATGTCCATAAACTTGCTTAAGAATTTTGTATTTGAATGATTGTTTAGAGAAGATTTGAGAGGAAATTTTTGGTAATGTAATTTTTGGTTTTTAATGTAGTACTGCCTGAAAAATGGTTGCAATGGAGATATAGTTGGGAGGATGATGGTAAGGGTGAAGTTAGACTATTTGAGTGAGTTGATTGTGTCATGAAATTCTCATTTAGCTTGAAGCAGGGACACAACACTAGGGGTGTCAAAGTGAGCCAACCCGACTCACACGGGTTGGCTCACTACGGGCTGAGTTGAAAAGAGGCGAGCTCAACCCGGCTCACTTTGGCGAGCCAGAAATTTCATAACCCGGCTCAACCCACTACGGGTTGGTGGGTTGACTCACTAACCCACATTTTTTTTTTGTTTTTTGTTTTTTTTTTTTCCTTTTTTTCTAATAAGCACGATTGAATAGCAGGACTGAACGTAATGACACGGTGACACAACAAACTCTGTAATGCAACTGAAATGCGAAAAACGTTATGATACAATTGAAACATGATAACGTGGTGACGTGACGAATGCACTGGTACGACGAATGCGGTGGCGTGACAAACGTTGTGGCGCGATTGAAATGCGAGACTAAAACATTGTGGCGTTGGCATGACAAAAATTATGATGCGATTGAAACGCGAAACTGAAACGCAACAAATATTATAACGTAATTGATGATAACCTTGAGTGAGAGTTTGACTTATAATGACGATATGGAATAAAGGTGGAGAAAAAAAAACATCAATTAAAATTACTAAATTATTATTAATTATTTTTAAAATTTAAAATGAATGGTGGGTTACGTGTCAACCCACCATAACCCCATTTGAACCTGCTTAACCCCGTGGGTTAAGTGAGCTAGATTATTTTTAACCCATTATCGGTAGAAATGAAAAAAATCGAACCCAACCCGGCTCGAACCCGTGGTGAGCCGGGTTGGCTCACGGGTTAGAACCCATATTGACACCTCTACAAATTACAAACTCACCCAAACCTTGCGATGATTAAGTTTCACTGCATTCTTAATTCTGACCATGCAATATAGTTCTTGTTTTCAGAGGTAGATGTTAAATGATTGGGGGTATTGGCTGGCTTAGAATATTGTGGATGATAGCTGTTAAGGTTCTAACATAACACCAAATGACAATATGTAGAGTAGCCTAGCAGGTATTTAAACTATACCATAAGACATGAGGCAGACGATGTAAGACTTCCAACACACCTCCTCCAACGAAGCCTGTCAGACTAGGCAAAGGGTATAAAAGCAACTTTTGGCCCAAGACAACAATAAAGGGTATTTTTGACCCAAGACAATAACCGAAAAGAAGTTAGGCTTTGACTCTGATACCATGTTAAGGTTCCAACATAAAACCAATTGACAATATGTGGAGTAATTTATGTATCATACCATATGACATAAGGCAGGAACTAATTAATAATTCCAACAATAGCCTAAAAGATGAACTATCTCTTTATTCTATATTTCCATGTTAAGGTCAATTTGTAACAGAAAAAGGTGGAATTAGTTCTAAATAACAATTAGATGGAATGATTGTTTTGCTTCGCAATAATGGGAATTGAGGGTACCTACTCTTTTAAATGCTTTAGGCAACAAAGTTCATGTTAATGGCTTCTATTGTCAACTATCAATACATAAAAGAGCAATTATCATATGAAATGATATGTTTTTAGAAAAACTTGTCGGTATTCTTCAGCCTTCCTCTGTTAAATAGGCTAGGCTGCTAGCATATATTTTACATTAATGTAGAAGATTCCTAATAGCTATTAGGTAATAAAATACATTTATATACATTAACATCCCCTATTATAAGGAGTAATTATTGGGATTCCTAATTGCTATACATTTATACACATTAAAATCCCCCGTCAACAATTTGCTAACCAGAAACTAATGCCGCTATCTAGTCATAGCTTTAGTGAATATATCAACAACTTGAAGATCAGTGGAGATGTAAGGGAGAGAGATGACATTGCTGGTCAATAATTTCGGGATATAACGACAATCTACTTCAATATTCTTGGTACGTTCATGAAACACGAGATTTGTAGCAATTTGAATAGCACTATCAACATGCAGAGGTGTAGGGATAGGTTGTGAAAAACCAAGCTGCTCCAAAAGACTATGTAACCACACAACTTCAGCACAAACAGTTGACATTGAACGATATTCAGCCTCAGTAGAAGATTTAGAAACACGGTCTTTCTTCTTGCATTTCCAAGAAATTTAGGCATCACGAAGAAACATACACCAACCTTTAGTAGACTAACGAGTATTTGGACATCCTGCCCAATCAACATCGCTGTATGCCATGTGCTAGAAAGATAAGTCTTTGGGAAAGAATAACCCACATGTAGGTGATCCCATTAGATAGCGGATAATGTGATGGAACAACAATGAAATGAAGATGGCGAGGAGAAGACATAAATTGACTGACTTGGTGAACAACATACGAAATGTCTAGTCTAGTTGTCGTTAGGTAGATAAGGCTTCTTACCAAACACCGATAGAGAGTGGGATCTGGCAAAATATCTCCTTCATTTTTTTTGTAATTGACATTTACTTCCATAGGAGTATCAATTGACGTAGCTCCATCTAAATCTGCCAAATTGATCAAATCTTGAATGTATTTTTGTTGGGTTAAAAAAATGCCATTGGATTGATGATGCATCTCTAATCCTAAAAAAATATGTGAGTTGTCCAAGATCATTCATGCGAAATGTTGCATGTAGCTCAACTTGCAGCTTAGCAATTAACTCATAATCAGTTTTGATAATGATGAGATCATTCATATAAACCAAAATGATAGCTATACTGGTGGGAGACTTGTGATAGAAGAGAAAATAATCATATTGACTCTGTGTGAAGGAGAACTTAAGTAATGTAGTATAAAACTTTTCAAACCAAGCCCGAGGAGCCTGTTTAAGTCCATATAAAGAACGTCGTAGTTTACACACATTAGTAGAAGGAGAAGTTATACCAGATGAAAGTTTCATATAAATTTCTTCGTTGAGATCACTGTGAAGAAAAGCATTCTTCATGTCCATTTGATGTAGTGGCCAAGATTGAGAAGCCACAATAGCAAGGATTGTCTGAATTGTAGTCATCTTGGCAACAGGAGCAAATGTCTCCTCATAATCAATCCCATACTCCTATCTATTACCAAAGGTTACTAATCGAGCTTTATAGCAATCCAAAGAGCCATTAGAGTGAAGCTTGATAGAGAAGACCCATTTACTTCGAATAGGTTTGATCGTGGGAGGACAACTCACAATGTCCCAAGTGTGATTTTCTTGAAGTGCTTGTAGTTCTTCTTGTATTGCCTTTTTCCAACATTCATGTTCCATAACCTGTGTATAACTAGAAGGAATAGAAATGGAAGACAAGGTAGTTGATAAAGAGACAGGTGTAAAATAACCATACCAATTAGGGAGTTTCGATGATTAGTGGATCGGCGAAGAGGTAGGACAAATGTGACCGAATCTAGTATAGGAGCATTGGCAAGATCAAGTGTTGGAGCAGAATCACAAAGAGTACTGGGAGATTTGTGACAATGTCTTTCATATACAAAACTAGGCTTGAACCGTTCCATAGTTTGTGAAAAATATGAAAAAATGTGGCATAACAGATATAGAAGGAGGTGATGATGCAACATATGATGTAAAGAAATACTGATTCTTAAAGAAAACCACATTCCTGGAAACTCTAATGCGATGGGACTGAGGATCATAACAAACATACCCTTTTTGAGTAAGAGCATAGCCTAGAAAAGCATACTTAACAGATTGATTAGTTAGTTTGTGACGTGCATGAGCAAAAAGATGTACAAAACCAACACAACCAAAAGTACGAAGATCAGAATATGAAGGAGAATGCCCAAACAACTTAAAAAAAGGAGAAACATTATGTAGAGTAGAAGATAACCGATTTATTAAATGAACAGTAGTAGAAAGTGCTTCACACCAAAAACGAGGGGAACATAACGCTGAGATATAATTCCCTTGTTTTGAAGTAAATTGTGAAATTCATTAGACATATATTCTCCTCTAGGATCTGATCTTAAGATTTTTATGTGAGCAGAGAACTGGGTCTTAAGAAATGAGACAAAATGTTGAAAGCTAGAGAAAATTTTTGCCTTAGACCGAAGAAAGTATATCCAAGTAATTCTACTGTAGTCATCTATGAAAGTAACAAAATACTTATAATCCGCATGAGAAACAACATGTAAAATCCAAACATCACTATAAATAATGTCAAACAACTATTTGCACAAGATGCTTTATGTGGAAATGATAAGATTTTACTTTTACCAAGTTTACATGTAGCACAATCAAAAGAGACAACAAAATCTCTATTGTCCAAAGAACTAGATTTAAAAAGGTATTAAGTACATGAGAATTTGGATGGCCTAAACGATTATGCCATATTTTATTCGCCTGCCTATCATCAATACAGACAAGAGAAATTAATAGAAAAATAGGACAATTTGTGGAAGAAGAAAAGTATAGCAGAAAGAGTCGTCCCACTTTAGGTCCCTTCAGGATGATCTTCCTTGACACTTGATATTGCACAATACAACCAGAACCAGAATATTTGACATTATAATCATGACCAACTAATTGGCCAACAAAAATAAGATTTGTGGAAAGACTGGGAGACACAAAAACATTAGTCAAAGAAGGGGAACTATCAGCAATAACACTAATAGACAAAGAGGTGCCATTTGCTGTGCGAATTTTCTGATTTCCATCATAATTTTTTACATTGGATAGAGACACAAAAGAGTTTGTCATATGGTTAGACGCTCCAGAATCAAGGTACCAAGATTGGGAAGAAAAATGAGGATTACCTGAGAGACCAAAGGCAGAAAAAACAAACATAATCATCTATTGTACCATTTCAGGAGTAAGTGTGTTTGTAGGAGGTGTAGGAACAAAAGTTGAAGTAGGCAATGTAGCAGAACTTGAAGCATCAACAGAGGCATGGTATGCAGTTCTATGCTTCTTTTCAGGACGGATTGGACAAGTTGTGATAATATGCCCTCGCTGCTTGTAGTAGTTACAAAACTTTTGCGGACAATCCTTCGTAATATGACCAAATCCTTTACAACTGTAGCATTGGGCAGAACACATATCTCTGGTTTTATTCTTTCCTTGTGTTGCATAGGCCACATTAATAGGAGTAGTAGAATTGGTGTTATGTTCCATAGCTGTTTGAGTTACTATGCGATGTTCCTCTCAAAGAAGCTCACCCAAGCAAGAATCTAAAGTTGACACTGGGTCGCAATTCATTAGATTAGAACGAGTAACTTCAAAGTCAGATCGCAGCTTCATCAAAAATTAATCTCTCTTACTAATCTCATACACTGTTTGAACAACAGAGAGGGCTGTACCAGAAATACCTGCATAAATAATATTTGAATATTCAGTCCAAAGATTTTGAAAACCAGAAAAATATTCCTCAATTGATAGACTCCCTTGTGTAAAATTAGCCATCTCATACTCCAATTGAAACCTCGGGGTTGCGTTGTCTTGATGATAAACCTTTTTCAAATACTCTCACATGTCCTTAGAAGTGTTATAAGGCCTGAGATTAAGAACAAAATGAGGCTCAACTGAGTTAAGTATCCAGGTCATGATTTGGGCATCTTTGGTTTCCCATTTTGTGAAATCCTCTGAACCTGTAGGTGCTGGATCTTTGCCATTAATATGATCCCATAAATCTTTTCCTTTGACAAATAGTTTAAATTGAAATTCCCAAGCAGAATAATTTTTATTGAACAAGAAAAGGAATCAAATTTATCATAAGACATTGAAAAAATTAATTTCAACAATTTGGTGAGACAAAAGACAAGCAAACAAAGGACAAATTCTGGGAGACAAAACTTGCTTGGAAACACTGTGAAAATATTGTGAAAACAAAATTGAAAACACCCACACCACAAGAACACAAGACCAGAATGCAAGAGTGAACCACGATTCAAAGTTGTAGCTTTTATACCATGTCAACTATCAAGAAATAAGAGAGCAATTATCATATGACACGATTTGTTTTTAGAAAAGCTTGTCTGTATTCTTCCGCCTTCCTCTGTTAAATAGGCTGCTAGCATATATTTTACATAAATGTAAAAGATTCCTAATAGCTTTTAGGTAATAAAATACATTTATATACATTAACATCCCCTATTACAGAGAGTAATTATCGGGATTCCTAACTGCCATACATTTATACACATTAACATCTATTAGTGTTTTGCTTGGCATAGCTTTTAGGGACTTGCTATGTCTGATGGGTAGAGAGATTGAGGATGGAGACTTGGCTGCATGTTTTAGTTGTTTCACTTGTAGTTGTTTCTTTTCTATGCTAGACCTTGTAGGATATCTTATCCCATACTTTCGTTCCTTTTTATGCAATGAATCTTTTTAATAGAAAAGATTTATTTAGGCATACCTTCGAAGAAAAATCTAGAAATATGTGGCAATAAAATAATTTTTATTTTTATTCTCCCCGTGTAGGCATGGTTGTAGGGTTGCCTCCGCCTAGGTTCTGGATACCAAATTGAAGGAGGATAGATCAATGGATATCTTGTGTTTTAGATACACAAAGGGTTTTATTATAAAATAGTGGAGATTTTGTTCTATAAATCAGATATTGTTTTTGTCATACAATAAATGCATTATAATAGGAGTTGATTCTCAGCAATTCCTAATCAACACATTTATTACACTTTCACCTCATCGGCATCCTCAATTTATGGGATTAACATCTTCTATATATTTTACATTTAGTACATAATATCTACCCAAGACAGCCTTTCTCTAAATGTTGGTATTCTGTCTTGTAAACTTTTTAACTGAAATGAGCTCCTTTCTTTTTCATCTTTTCTCTCATCTAATTAAGTTTTGTTTTTCAGGGCTGGTTCAAGTGAGGCCTACTTACATGTGAATATTATTGCTTTGTCACTTTGAATTTATTAGGTGTTTTTTGTAAACAGATATGTGAGAGGCTTGGAATTGAACTGAAAAAGAGCCACATTCGACTTGTAAATTTGTGCTGTAGATTTGGAATGAAAGTGCAGGAAGAACAATGCCTAAAATCCAAGGCAATTCGAGTTTGGACTTCTAAAAATTTCAACCCTGGACCAGAAGTTGAACTTATTTGCAAGTTTGATGAAAATAAAATTTTGAACCATGTGTCTAATAATTCAAAAATAATATCTGAGTTTGGGGCTTCAACTACCAGTGGAGAAGTTGGTGCAGAACTATTGAGTGTGTCTCCAAGAAATACTGAGTCGAACTTTGTAGAAATGTCAACAGACTTGCAAGATTTGGAACGACCGTCAGTGGAGGCAGATAATGCACGATCAGGAGCATTTCCATCTGATGTTTGGAAACCATTCTCTATTGGATCATATCAAAGACATGCAAGTTTATCTTTAAGTGTGGAAAACACTAGAAGGGCAAATAGGATACTTGAAAAACTAAAGGTCTGTCTTTCTTCTCCTTTCTAATCCTATTGAAAATAAAGTAGATGTTTATTTCCTTAAAATTTGCATTCTATGTTCGTAAGACAATTTTTGCATTTTTTCCTCATTCAGGATGAAAGGTTCATTTTAAAGTCTGAGCTAAATAGGTGGCTTAATAGCCTTGAGAAGGATAAGTCTACAAAAGTGGACCGCAAGACTATTGACAGAATATTAACTAAACTTCAGGAAAAAGAGAAGGTCAAATGCATAACTGTACATTCGCCTGTTATTTCTGAATATTCCAGGACAAAAGATTGTGTGGTAATTGTGCATCCATCCATGAGTCTATCTCCTGAGTTATTTGATGAAATTCAAGACAGAGTACGATCATTTAATAATTATATTCGAAGCAAAAGCATATCACATCAGAAAAATGATGAATTGATTCCTGTAATGGAGGGTATTCAGAAAAATCAAACAGTTATAGTTCCAGATGGGCAGGCTAGTAAAGCAGAAGCTATGCGTGTTAATGGATTTGTGTTAGCAAAAATGATTCGAGCAAAGCTGCTGCATAGTTTTATTTGGGATTGTCTGCATAGGTCAACAAGCCATATTGATGCTTTATCATCTAAAATATGTGTCTACGAGCTAACTGATACTTCTCATAGTAGCAGAAAACTATTTTCTCTAGAATCAACTATTAAAGAAATTCCAGTTGAACTATTCTTACAAGTGGTTGGCTCCACTAAAAAACATGAAGAAATGATTGAAAAGTGCAAGATGGGTTTACGTCTCTTGGATCTCCCTCCAGAGGAGTATATAAGTTTAATGGATGCTCAAGCAACAGGAAGCCTGTCATTAGTTATTGACATTTTACGAAGATTAAAGGTATTCTTGTTTACTGTTGAGTTAAATTTAAGGGCATGTTTTTAATTAGAATGATTTAGAATTTATCTTTTCACAATTACTTTTTTCTGCCAATTTCATCTTATTAAGGCCTGGGACTCGGGGTGGTGGAGTATTGAACTACTTAAGATGCTGGAGCCTAGAGTCATCTTTACCAAATAAAATATATTAATCCTTGACATGTTACAGTCTTCATTGATGGATACAATTACTCTCTCTCTTTTTTTTTTCTCTTTTAGGAAAACATTGCACTTGAGATAAATAAAAAGAGAAAATATACTATAAAGAGCTTGGAAAAGTCTCTCCTAGGTTATCTTTATACTGAAAATGAAGTCTCAATCTGAGATATAATTAAGGAGAGAGAAGAGTAGAAAAACAAGTATAGGTATCTCTAGGACCCTAGGTACATATAGGTAAAACTCAAAACAGCTTTTTAATAAAGCCTATTCTAAAAATTGTCATGAGAGATTGTATTTAACTCAAAGTTAAGGATTTTTCTTTGAAATTTCTGTCTTCTTTTTGTCTCCCTGCTCGATTAGTTTCATTCATCCTTACCCAACGTGGCTGTGATGGTGAGTTGGGAGAGCTACTTAACTAGTGATGGCAGTGCATATTTTGACACATTCAGCACACTGATTTGAATATGTGAATTTCCTTTACTACAAATGTTGTTTTGAAAACAATATGACGAAATTTTACTCATTTATTTTTTATGCAATGACTTATGATTTGTGTTTTCATTAAGAATGATAGGAAGGGAAAGAAACTAGATAGATTAATGGGCAACCAGTGGTTAGTTAATTAAGGTCTGATTTAGAATACTTATGAATAAGATAAAGAAGGAAACCAGATTAATATTTTATTCTCTTAATTGTCTGGATTACTATTGTTAAAAAAGGCAATGAGATACTTAAGAAAACAGGAGTAAGGAAAAACCATTTTACTTAACAAGCTGCTAAGGCATTGTAATTTTGTCGCAAACTGATATACCATAACCTTATTCATATTCCTGCCCATGGCTTGTAAAACTTGTATGTATTTAGGTGCTCTCCACATGGTTATTTTGCTTCTTATTTCATCCTGCTGAGGAATATGTATTTTGCGTTTTTATTTGGGCAGTTGACTGATGATGGTGTTAAAACTATGACTTAGTTTTTGTGTCATAATGTACTTACTGTATGTAGGATAAGATTGTTCTTTTCCTCCACTGTTAAAATAAGTTTCTGAAATACAAAGAGCTGCTAGTTGTAAAAAAAATACAAGTGAATAGAAATGAGTAGATTACTCTTACATTGTAAAATTTTAATGATGCATGCTTGACATGGATTTGTTTGTGTAGTTGATTCAAATGGTAACTGATTTGCAATCTAGAGATGGAGTCAGAACCCCTCATACTCACACAATGGAGCTTAGGCCTTATATCGAGGAACCCATTTCAAATGATAAAGCAACTTTAAATTTTATTTCTCTTGATCTTCGACCAAGAGTCAGACATGATTTTATTCTGTCTAGCAGAGAAGCAGTTGATGAATATTGGAAAACATTGGAGTATTACTATGCTACTGCTGATCGAAAAGCTGCTTCATATGCATTTCCTGGATCTGTGGTCCATGAGGTAATATCTAAGTTTATCTCCACTCCAGCACACAATTTCAAAATTTCTCAGTTTTAATGCCTTATTCCAGCTTAATGTCATATTTTGATATCATGTTAGAAGTTCAAACTCCAAAGAGAGTAATATTTTGTTTATATTGTTAGCTTTTCCGCTTCCGTTCATGGACATCTACTCATCTTATGACAGCTGAACAACGTGCTGAGCTTTTAAAGCATGTAACAAAGGATAGTCTCAGTGAAAAAATTTCATATAGGGACTCTGAGAAGGTTGCAAAAGATCTGAATCTTACCTTGGAGCAGGTTAGTTTATTTCAAGTTGTAGACTTATTTTGTCATTTATCCCTCTTGGAATGGAAAATGCAACATCAGTACTGTTAACCCCCCTACTGGTGAGTATATCCTTGAGGATATAAGATCATCAGCTCCTGTTTTGTCTCAATTAAATAGACCTGTTGAAGATTATCTTGCTATTGCTATGTTTGTCACTTAATGTGTTTCTCCCAAAATAATATTGCTTCACATTTTATCTTAGGAAGTATGATTGTGTAGTTGTAATTCACTATAAACCTATGATCAATTATGAAGAGGAAATTAATATGGCTTGTATTTTGGATTATTTGTCACACACTTTGTTTCTTGAACTTGTTGCTGCTAGTAGTTTTAGAGACAAAGTCTGGTAGATAATGCTGAGAACTGTAAATCGAAATGAACTCCCAGAATTTAAAACTTTGTAAAGAGGAAAACTGAATTTTTTTAGTTAAGTCAAAATTTACTTTGTTTCATATTATTGTCAGTTTCAAGATGAGTGACACTTGCAATTTTTTCCATATGTATTTTTTAAACACTAATGCCACTTGTAGGTACATAGCATGTATTCTAGTAAGCGTCATCGCCGTTTCATAAATCAGTTCAAAGATGAAGAGAAAGAGGATAATTCACCTGAATGCATTGGTAATTCATCTCGTTGTAGGAAAAGAAAATCCACTGAGCTCAGGCATGCAAAGCATGCCACAATTGATGCAGTAACTGATGTTGTGGACATGCACATCGAAGAATCACATAATTTAGGTGTGCATTCAGGAGACTGTGCCACAGATATTCAAGAAATTGAGAGTATGGCTGAAGACTCTAGCCCCCATATTAACCAATGTGTCTTAAACAAAATGAAGCCAACACGCCATAGGAGATTCATTTGGTCAGACAAAACTGATATGTAAGAGAATTTTTCGGAACCTGCTAAATCTTAACTGATATAATTATTTTACTTTAGATTATATAATTGGATGAAATATTTCATCTTTTATTCTTGCTTGTATTTTAGTTTGTTCTGAATTATAAATATAATGTTTGTATAGTCTTATTTTGCTACCACTATTAGGGGAACATTTAATGGCAAGCTTAAATCAGCAAAGAGTTCTTTGTTATGTATTTTTGTGATAAACATCTTACAAAAACTATTGCAACCCGAATTGATATTATATAGTTATTTTAAGATTTGTGATTAACTTACAAAGGAAGGATAAAAACTAAAAAAGTTACTTATAATTGATCATGAATGCTGATTTCATGACACAGTTTTTTATTATCAAGAAAAATTATAAATAAATGGCTTTAGTTATAATTAATAAATGGCCTTCATGACATGTTTGTATCTATTCCATTGTTCTGTAAGTTGAAAGCATATTTGCTGTATTTCAGATTACTATCACTCCTGTAAGGCTATGAAAATGATATTATCTATGTGGTCTGAGTATCTATGATTTTATATCATTTCAGGCAATTGCTGATCCAATATGTTAAACACCGTGCAGTTCTTGGTGCCAAATATCATCGCATAGATTGGAAGTCAATTTCTGATCTTCCAACTTCTCCAAGCGTTTGTAAGAGAAGAATGAATTTGTTGAATAGTAACTTGAGATTTCGGAAAGCTGTGAATAAACTCTGTAACATGCTAAGTGAACGATATGCAAAGCATCTGGGAAAGTCCCAGAAATTGTCATTAAAGTCAGATGAATGCAAACAATTTGTGCGATCTCTGTCCTGTGAAGGTATCTACAATGATTCTAGTCCTGTTGAAATTCAAATGACAACTCCAAACAGAGAAGCCTGGGATGACTTTGAGAACAAAAATATCAGGACAGCCGTTGATGAGGTTCTTCGCTGTAAGATAATTGCTAAGCTGGATGCCTCCTCCCAAAAAGATCAATTGCAATATGAAGGGTGCTCAGATGCAAATGCGAATGCTGATGGATGTGTAATTCTCTAACACTTATTATCAAGTCGTTGCTTCCAAGTATTTGAATGAGACTTAGCCTATTTCTAGCTGGATCTAGTATTTAAGTTTTAATTTCATAATTTTTCTTTTGCTCTCCTCTCATTATCCTTCTTGGATTTTTTTTAATTTATGTTTTATAGTTGTCAGGTATTCTGGAATCTGTCTGACACTCTGACTAAAGGAATCTTTTTTGTGACAGGAATCTCAAGAAAACGAAGAAATTACATCAGCTATTCCTTGTGAAATTGATCAGAGTCATCATGGGAAGCCCCATACATCTTCTGTCCAAAGATCACGCCGGAAGCGACTTGATAAAAAATTTACTAGGTTTATGAATAATATGGCTAATGTTTATGGACAAGTAAACAAATCATTGGCTATTTCAAATGATGTAGAGCTATTTAAACTTGTTTTTTTAAGCAGCTCAACAGGTCCTCAGGCACCAAATTTACTAACTGACATTCTCCAGCGATACTCACAGCATGATCTATATGCTGCTTTTAACTATCTTAGAGAGAAAAAATTTTTGGTAAGTTCTAATCCCTCATTGCTTGTATTAAATGCATGAGATGTAATGTTCATTGGTCATGTACTTACTGTGCTGTTACTTGTGCAGTCATCTTCATATTGGTCATCATAATATGCCTCATAATTCTATAATGCATACACTGAAGATTATGTTTCCATATGCCCATATTTTAAAACTTGTCTCTGGAGCACTTCATAAAATGTTTGTGGGTGTGTAGAATCAGATATCCAAACTCTAAAGCCTGTAGTTGTTGTTTAAGATGAGAAAAAGGATATGCAATGTGGTTAAGTATTTCAAGGCTGCTAAGAAAATCTTGTGTCAATGTTTTGAATTAATTTGGTGAGAAAATATCTATATTCATGTTGTTAGTATCAGAATTAAACACATGTAAATGAGAGATAAGCATATGTACACCTCAGATTAGCTGTTACTGATTTTTAGTCCCGCATATCACCTCTTAGAATTAGCATCGGATTCCATTTATTGAATGTACAGATTATAAGTATACACGTACACTGATTAGTTGCATAATTCACCAAATTCTTTCTGATTGTAGAAAGATTTACTAGAATCGAGTATGATTAAAAGATGTTTATATTTATAGTAATGTAAAAGTTGCTCCTACATGCCCCCCAAACTAGGTCGTGGATGCTTGTATATTTTATGTAGTACTTACTGAAGCTATGGAATTCACTTCAACAACATTGGTAGCCACATACATCCCCACTGTTGAATAATTTGAGTCGCCACTGTGATCTTGTTCTTAATTCTTAGTTTCAAGGTAGTTTAATTGGCGTGAATAAGAAGACCCATTTTCTAAATTGCAAATCAAATTGTGAATCATTAGATTCATGGTTGGCTATAAAACATAGGATATGTGAATTAACAAAGACATATTCATGACAATTACTAAAAAAATTACTTAAGACCATGAGTTCAGTGAGAATTTGTTATAATAGAATAATGTTTAAATTTATAATCAATATGATGATATTAAAATGTTATAGGTTTAATTATGTTTTTAGTTTCTGAAATTTGAGCTAATTCTGATTGTGCTTCTCCAAATTTAGAAAATATTTTTTCAGTCCCTCAAAATAAAAAAAATAAAAAAAATATAGTTCCTAAACACTAAATTTGAAGAACTAAAATGAGTTTCTTGAGCTTTGAGTTTAGGATTTAAAACTATTTTTAGTCCCTCAAATTTAATGTTTAGAGACCAAAACCCTAATTTCCAATTTTAAGAGACTAAATTTTTTTTTTTAAATTGGAGGACCAAAATCAAAATTATCCCAAATTTGAAGAACTAGAAAAATAATAAAATTCAATATTATATATTAAAATTTATAATAAATATTCAGCTATTAAATTTATTGTAAATATTAGTCAGCCTCCCTTAGTCATTGCTTTTGATTTATGTAGAGGTTAAAACTATGATGAGCAACCTCCCTTGGTCATTCCTTGCTCCATGAGCACCGTAAGAGTTTGTGATATTTTTCCTGATATTGTTGCCATTTATTTAACTTGACTCCGCACTTTTAAGAATTTTTACTACCTGATTTCTTATTTTAGGACAACCTGAATATGTGTGCCTGGCCTTGCGTGTTTTTCTACTAGTTCTAATTACATTGACGTTTGACAGGTAGGAGGCACTGGTAGTGAACGTTTTGAACTTTCACAACAGTTCTTGCAGGGTATTTCCAAGTCACCATTTCCATTTAAGACAGGAAAGCAAGCTGTTAAATTCTCTGCATGGCTGGATGGAAAAGGCAAAGATCTCATAGAAGTGGGTGCTAATCTTTCTGAAGCATTACAATGTGGGGACATTTTTCTTATGTTTGCTTTGGTCTCATCGGGTGACCTTTCAATTTCACCATGCCTACCAGATAATGGTGTTGGAGAGGCTGAAGACTTGAGAACTGCAAAACGTAAATTTGATGCTACTGACTTTTCATATTCGTATAGTGATAGAGCTAAAAAACCAAAATCCATGTTTGGAGTAGAAGGTGAAATTATTTCTCGTCGGGAAAAAGGTTTTCCTGGTATTCCCATTTTTGCGCACCGAATGACTATTTCAAGACCTGATATTTTTAATTTGTTCAAGGATAATGAACAACCTTTTGACGGTGATTTTCAATTACACATTGGCCAAAGCAGTAATTATTCACTTCCTGACCATATGTTGGAAATCGATAAAAATTGTGATCCAATACCTTTGGGAGAAAACCATACTGAATCACCCTGGGATGCTATGGCAAGCTATGCACGACGATTGTTGTCAGAGTATTCCAATCAAGAGCATGCAAATGCCATTTGTGCGGAAGTCTTCAGGGTCGTTTATGCTGCCATCCAAAAGGCTGGTGATCAAGGATTAAGAATGGGAGAAATTTCACAGGTTATAAACTTGCCAGGTATATATGCTGAGATTTAACCAAGTATAAAATTGACTTGAACTCAAATAATGTTTATAAAGGTTCAGTTATTTAAACTTTGAGATTGTTTATTGTTCTTTGTCTTTCAGGAGCAGAGGTTGATGGCTTGATTGTTGATACTTTTCAAGCATTTAAGCAAGCATTAAAGGTTCCTCCCTCGTTACTTGTTTTAACAGTTTATAGCATGTTTGTTTGCAAATCATGGTCTGACCGAATGGAAAGCAACTTTTTTCCCTTATTTCTACCTAAAGCATGGTTTCAGAACCAAAATCATGTTCGAACATAACCCCAAGTACCAAACCATTATTTTGCGTAACTTGTTATTTGTGGATTGAAGTCAATTTACTTACCCAAACTAGGATTTGGGGTGTGCGAACAATGACCTGAACAAGCTCTTAGTAGTCTGGGATGGGGCTCTGTTGTGCGGAGATGTGCTGCTGCAACAAGATAGTAACGTAGGAGATAAAGCAACAATGTAAAGAAATAAATTCTCCTTGTATAACCACAAACGTACCTTAAAAGAAACACGGACTCTTCAACAAGAAATAAAACAGAATTTGCAGAAAGGTAAAAACAGAGAATGTCAGGGTCACCCAAGAAAGAGAAAGAAATCACACTTCCCCCCCTCCACTCTCTCTCTTGCTAGTGCTACATATACCAACTTATTTTTGGTTATTTTGAACCGAGTGCTATGCCTTATTTCTTCCTCATTCGCCATGTGTCTCTGCCTTGGTCCCACTATTTCCCTCTCTGATAATTTCTGCAGCTATACTCGTTACTGCCGCTTTGCACGTTGATAGATTGGGTATCTCCACTTCCTTTTTGGAGTTATGATACTGTTATCTAGTGTCTTTAATGTTTTTTTTTTTGTTTCTTTCTTTTTATTTTTATTGAATTTCTGGCATATATATATTGCCGAAGTAGTTTACAACAACCTGTGATTTGAGACCTTTCCTTCCGAAGAAATTGAATTTTTTTTTGCAAAATTTGCAATAACTTATTGTCAGGCAGGTTTTAGGCCTTTATATTTTATTATCTAATTAGTTTTCTTTCCCACCTTTTTCTATAATAATATTCTCTTTACTGTGCAGGTCAATGCTTATGATACTGTCCGCGTTGTTGATGTATTGTACTGTCACAAGTACTTTTTGACATCTGGGTCTGATTTTCATCAATGTGTTCTACAACCTTCCTCATCAAAATCTATCGAGAGGAGAGATCATACATGTGAGCATTACAAATCAAATGATACTTCTTCTGTTCGTTCTCTGAGGGAAGAACAAACTGCTGTTGATAAGGTGCACAGAGTGACAATTCTCAATCTTCCACATGGGGATGTGGATTCTGAAAATCAAGCTTGTGATAGGAATGAAAGTTGTAAGCTAGATAGTCTTGGCTTATCCAGAATCGGTCATAACAAAGAAACTCACAATTTTTCTTTGAGTGAGTCATGTGTGCCAATATTGCCATGGATCAATGGAGATGGCACGATCAACAACATTGTTTACAAGGGACTTAGACGTCGTGTTCTTGGAATAGTGATGCAAAACCCAGGGATATTGGAGGTATGCGAACTCTACAATGATGGTTCAAGCTATTGAAAGTGTTAGAATTGTTTAGACATGTTATAATCCTATAGATATGATATTATTGTCAATTGATATTAGGATCAACTAGATTGATTTTGTATTTATGTTCTTGACCTAAAATAGGGAAATTGAATATTTTGTTATTACACTCTCTTTCCTAGAAATTGAATAGCTCTATCATAGTCTACACACACAAAACTCATCATATATCTTCTAGGTTTCTCTCTTCCCAACATGGTACCAAGAGCCCAACAAGAAGACAACCCTAATTCATGGTTTCTCATGGGCCCATTGCCCATTTGTGTATAACTTTTATAAATTTGTTTGTTTTTTGGTTTATGTTTTTTGTCAATGTAAACTATTCACCATTGTGTCACTATTTACCAAACATAATTGTTCATGTTGGTGTTATTGTTCCATGTTGGTGTTATTGTTTGTGTCAAGATTATTGTTCACAACGAACTCATTGTTCACGTTGAAGTTATTGTTCACATTTGAGGCAATGTTAGGGAATTTTCTATACCCTTGCCTTATGGCTACCTCTAAGTCTAATACTCAGATTTTTACCAGCCACATAACTACATCGCTCTCTTCTGAATTGTTGGATGCTAAGAACTACTCCTCTTGGGCTTCTCACAATGAATTTTGTAGTCCTAGAGTAGACCACCGTGTGTGGAAAAAGGTTGATACTTGATTGTGTTGTATCATTCGCACCACCATTCACCCATCTCTTCTCAATGTCTTCTACACTCACAAAACTTGTCAAGCAGTTTGGACACAAACCAAACAACTCTTTACAAACACTTCTCGATTACTCTACCAGGTTTGTGAAGATCTAGTGCCTGTGATTAAAGACTTTGACAACTTATTTGGGCTTGGTTCTTTATGTCCTTGCCATTATATTGTCTATCCATAGGCTATTCTCATGTTCATGAGTAGATCTTGGGTGCCACCACAAAAGCTACCATGGACGATACCTAGGCAAGTCTACTTTGTGTTCCTGTCAAAGCCTCTTTTGACTACTTGTGTCCCCTTGGCCTTGTTAACTCTTTTGCTTTGGTTTCTTGCAATAACAATAAACCTTGCTACATAAAGGTGGCAAAGGAACTCCTTAGATACATCAAATGAGCCCTCAGAAGAGGTCTTTTGTATGAAGACTAAAGACTCGCTCAAGTTATTGGGTATTCTACTATATAGATTGGGCAAACACTCTTATTGATAGAAGCTCCTTCTCTAGTTTTTGTATACTTGTTGGAAAAGAAAGAAGTAGAATGGTGTAGCTAGGTCCAATGTGGAGGTGAAGTATCGAGTTATGGTTTGTAGCCAATCAAGAACTTATATAGCTGAAACAACTTTTTCAGAAACAAAAGTTTACGGAGGTTACGAAGTTATCACTTACATGTGATAATTTGGTTGTCATGCATATTGTCTCAAATAAACTATTCCATTAAAAGATGATACATATTGAAGTTGATTGTTACTTTGTCACAGAGAAAGTCATGTACCAAAAAATATCTACTAGTTTTATTTCACTAAGGGGTCCTCAAATTAATTATATATGTAACAACTTTGGTGCATATGATCTCTATGCTCCAATATGTCAGGGAGTGTTAGAATTCTTTAGATATGTTAAAATCTTATAAATATGGTACTAGGATCATTAGATTGATTTTATATTTATGTTGTCACCTTTAAATAAGGAAACTAAATATTTATATGTATACTCTTCCCTATAAATTGAATAGCACTACTATGATATAAACACAGAAATCAATGTATGATATGCCTTTTCAATTTCTCTCTACTCAACATTAAGTTTCATAGAACTTTAACGTGCAATCAGCTGTGGGTGTTACTGCATATTAATATTAAGAGGGCCTACAAAAGGAATATAATGGGAACTTATTTGTTTTTATTCTAACCTTGTTTTACTACATGAGGCTTTATACTTCAGAAATAGGCTAACTTAGCAAAATTACAAGACTTTAGCAACATTCTTAGGACTTAACTATTATGGGTTACATCAACTATCCCATAATAGATGTTAGGTAGGCCAAGTCACAATCAAGAGTTTGATTCCTAACAACACATTTGCTGAGGAGAAGATTGTTATGAATTGCATCAATTGTCCTAGGCTCAGCTAAGTGAGTCAAGTCACAATTGAATTGTAGCATTTGAGCTGCAACGTTTTTAAGTAGAAAAAATTGTAGAAAAAACTAGTTTTTGGTCAAGTGGTGAGTGCTTAATCCATCATTTGATATTAAAGCAGTTCAAGCAGACAATTGCTAAGAGAAATATTGTTGCAAGTTACATCAATTAGATCGTAAAAGATGCTAGGTGCTTAAGTCGTAATTGAGCGATCCATTCACAATGGTGCAATTGTTGAGAGAGAGATTGTTGCAATATCAATAATCACAATTGACTAATGATATTTGGGTTATTAAACTTTTAAGTAGAAAGAGTTATACTCTCACCAAAAGCTTTTGGATGTGCATGATTCAACATTAACACTCTGCATATTTTCTACCATTAACACAATTTGCAGGGATTGAGACTCATTCCATTTCTTGAGTCCCAATAAATCTCAACGTGTTTGAAAGAATGTGTTGGACCGTGTGTTATTGGCATTTTTATCATATTGACATGGTCTTGTTTTAGTAAAACTAAAATATACTTTTTGTCTGTTTATTTAAAACTTCGAGTCCTTTCTTAATCTTTTGTTTTTAGTTAATTTAGTCCTCCAACTTATTTTTTAGTCGTGACATAGAAATAATAAAAAATATCTGAGGAAATTTTTATGAGATCCAAATTGTTATTTTACCTACTGTTCTTATGTATCAGTTTCATTGTATCCTATTTTAGGGGCAGTTGTTCCTCTTTAATAGAGGGAGATTGAATCATGTAATTAGCATTACAAAAGTTAATGACATTACTGTTCCCATTCAACTTGGTACCATAGCCCGACCCTAGGATATATATATATATATCGTCTAACAAAAAAAGTTAAACTAACCAAAGTAGAAACGAACAGTTGTGACAACCTAACTAACAATAGGAGTTGCTGCCCTTCTTACTATCTGCATTGCGATTGTTGAGGCTGGTAGCAGGCCAAGGGGTGCGCCTCACACCAACAACTACAATCAACTCCACGTGCCGCCCATTCACTGCTGGCCCGTGTAAGCCACTCCTTACACCCGGCGAGACCCTCTTTTCTCATGTCCCTTAAAAGCCTAGCATTCACTACCATTTAGTGTATCTCGACGTATAGCCGTGCGATAAATCTTGCCTTTGAATTTGTGAGGTATCTTGCGATCAGAAATAACCCTTGATGTCTTCCTTCATTTAGGTCATCCAACTTGCATTTTTTATTTGACATCCATATCATTACCCATAAAGATAACTTTTCTATAATAGACAACCTAAATAAGTGTGACTTGGTGGGTTCACCCAAGCTATGATATTTTTGTGGTACAAACAGAGTCGAGGTGTTTGTCGTAGAAGCTTTAATCGTCTTTTTTTGGTTAGACAGCTAAACCTCTAAAGAAATTAGGAAACTAAACATAAAATGGGGAAGTGGGAAAGAAAATAAATCTATCCTAATAATAACAACTATACAGCGAGATTTATTTTATTAAAGAACAAGGAGAAAACTATTAAATTTTTGATGATTTGATGCATGCTGCTAATTGTTTCCTTTATTATTGCTCCTGATCCTGCATAATTGTCTGTGCTTTAAATGGAAAATGGAAAGAAAAACCGTTATACAATAGCTGTTACACAACAATAGGGCAAACCACTAGTTCTATTAAAATAAGTGATTGCATAATAAATAATAACTTGAGGTGCAGAAGTCTTCCAATTTTTAATCTTTATTAGGAAATAGAAAAATCTACTGACAATTTCATTTGTATGTGTTAGGATGTTCTTCTACATCAGATGCACGTGTTAAATCCACAGGTATTCTACTAAACTTTAAAAAATCTGCACTTTTATTCTGAACTTGCAAATCACTAGTCTAGTCACGTGCTGACTTCCATTCTGAAATTTCTGGACTCTTATCTCCATTTGTTTATTTTTTTCTTAAAGATTTCCCGAGGTTTTATTGAAATATGCTTCCACCCTTCTAGTTTAAAATTATGCAATATACTACACTCGCCCTGTGTATGTACGTGCCTGTGTATTTTGCAATCAGAGATTTTATCCTTCCATAAAAGGTGAAAATAAACTGACAAGGAAGGATCTAGGCATATGATGAAACTAAAGAAGTTTCTCAACATATAACGCCAATTTATTATAATGTCCCTTATCGGATAGAACTACAGAAGTATAATAGAAAAGGTCATTGGCATTATGCAAGGCTTTGTACTATTATTTTTTTCATCTGGTGGTTGTGGCCTAAACGTTGATTTTGTTACTGCTATCACTGCCTGTGTTGTCCTGTCTTTGTATGCTACATTTGAGAATAGTATATCCTGATTCGGGTTTATGACAGAGCTGTATAACACTCCTGGAATTGATGGTTCTGGATAAACACTTAATAGTGAGGAAGATGCATCAAAATATGTTTGGTGGGGGACCCTCCGTACTTGAGGATCTTATAAACAAATCCAGTCAACCAAAGTTGATTTGCCGAGAACATTTCTTCGCCAATCCCATGAGTACTTCCTTGTTGTAGGGAATCCGGGGAGTTTTTGCACGAGTACGTCCTTGTTTGTTATACAGAGAGAGAGAGTAAATTATAACAAATATTCAGATTTTATATATATATAAAAAAAAACTTATTTACCTCTTCTGAAATTTGTTTGGAACATATACGGTTGTTGTAGTTTTGGTGATGGCGGTGGAGTTGCGGGTCTCACCATATTCTATTTCTTTCATCTTTGTCCATGAATTTTTATGGAAAAGTGCTCATAGAGTATTGCATAAAATTAAATCATTTTTAAAACATAAAAATTAAAATAATGATAACAATAAATACTTTTTTTTGTAAAATGATAATGGAGAAAAAAATATAAAAATTTAGTCGATAATTTCACATTTGTCTAATTTTCAATAAAAATCGAGATAATTTATTTCAATCCTTTTCTTAATTTTTTTTCATATATATATATATATATAATAATTCTCTTTTTGCTTTTCAATTTTTTTCCTCTCTAGTTCTTTTTTAATCCAAACGAAGCATTCCGAGTGTTTTTCTAAACAGTGCTTAGTATTGCATTAAATTAAATCATTTTTATAACATAAAAACTAAATAATGATAAAGGCAAAAATTAATATAATTTCACACTTTTCCAATTTTATATACAGGTGGAGAATATTTATTTCACCTTTTTCTTGATTTTATTCATTTAAATATTTTCACTCTATTTCTTTTTATTTTTCATTTTATTTTTTCCTTTCTTGTTACTTTGATTTTTTTTTTAATCCAAATAAGTCATAAATGTAATTTCAAAACTATCGTTATCTACCGTTTTTAATTCATCTAGTGTAATCACCTGCATTGGATTTTAAAGAGAAATATAAATTCGTTCCAGATTTGTTATGATATAAAATATAAATAATTTGAGATCATAAAATTATAAAATAAAATTATGAATTGTGCGTGAATAATCAAGAGCTTGTAACCCAACTTTTTGCAATTAAAGTATGAGTTTTGTGCTTAAGCAATTTCAGTTGTTTCGTTGGATAGTATCTTTTGTGTATGTCAGAGTTGTTACAAAAACAAACGACCTAACTAAGATTTTAGTTCGTAATATAAAGATGTTTTGGTTTTAGTCCCTCCTTTATTTCATTTGGCTTGTTTGTATTCTTATTCTTAACTTTCTCTTGTTAACATGATTACAAGGGAAGAATTAGTGATTTGATTTTAAAATACCGGTAACAATTTAACCTCACAAAGAAAGGTTCAAGAGTTTCTCACAATCTATGCATTAATTCTCAGAATCAATCTATAAAGGTCTGAGACACTCCTTATGTAAGAAAGAGCATGAAATTAGCTTCGAAGATAAGTTTTATTTGGCTTCTAAGAGAAACTTTGCTTGGTTTCTAAGAGAAGCATAGACTTACTTTAAAAGAAACTTAAACTTGGCTTCATAGAAGCTTATGCACCTAAAGAGTCAATCAAACACGTATTATCCTATGTTTTTAAACATGCCTTTTCTATCTTTATAACCAAGCAAAAGAGTTATTTCTAAAACATATTAAAACAAAGAAATTTTCTATTTTATCAGGAGAAGAATTATTTTCTGTTCTAATCATCTTGCTCGTCTTCCTTAGCTCCTCCTCAAGTTCCCTTATGTTTCTGGTAACTTTTTCTTTGAATTGTTGTAATTACTAGATTTTTTTACTCCCCTTTCCATGCTCTCATCAAATACCGTATTGGCGTCGTCAATCATAGGAAAAACAAAACGAATGAAGCGTAAGTAGGAGTAACTAGAGGTGGATTCTATCCTCGAGGTTTCACCTATGGTAGCACCAGTGGCATGTTATTCAGATAGGGTAACCGATCTCGGAACACTGGTAGCAAACATTGGAAAAAATGCATTATCTACGGTCGAAGAAACCACAAGTCCCCAAAAGCATATTTCATCATCTAATACAGTTGCATTGAAATCGTTGTTGGGGTTTCTATCAGTATTTGATGTTATCAAAACATATTCCCATGATAATAACTTAAATAGAAACATAAATAAAATAAAGTACTCTACAAAAATCACCTGACATCTAGTACCACTATATCAGTGTATGACATTCAATGTATTGGAAAAATCAATCCAATTTTCCAAACGTTAATGCAAGTAAGTGGAAGATCGAGAGGTGTATTTCAAAAAGTGGTGAACGCATCTTAACTCTTCGAGAATCTCTTTTCATAACGGGTGTAAATGAAAATATGAAGAAAGTAGTGAACATTTGCTATCATAAAAGGATCATTTAATCAAAGAAGATTCATCCAATCTTAGAGATGGGCGCACCACCTTAAGAGGGAGAGGGTACGCTCGTAATGGGAGGGTTTCTCAAGTTTGTTCCAAAAATTTGAAATAGAGTTTTTTCCAAGTTTGTCAATAAAACTTGTAATGTGTTGTAATATAATGGAATACTTTTGAGACTATTTTGTGGCCGTAGTCAAGTGGTGTCAAACCACATAAATTCACACCTTTCATTATTTTTCATTTGTTGTGGTCTTTGGTGTATCTCATACATTTGGTCCTCATTGTGTAAATGGGGATTTATGGTAGCTTCATGTGGGGATCCTTGAGTCAAAACTCTTATTGGTGAAGAAGGTTAGGCGAACCATGGAAATTTATGTCTATCATTAATTTTTTTCGTCTGTGTTGTAAAGGGAAATTTTTCCCCAACACAATGATAGTGGTGAAGTTAGGGTAGCCTTTTGGTTAAGACAATTTTCTTGATACATATTCCTTGTCTTTCTGCTGTGTCTTAGAGTTCTTTAAATATCCATATAGGTAAGAGCAGTGATTCATGCCTAGTCATTTATCTACTACACCGAGTGCAAGAGCCAAAAGAAATAATTTACCAAGTTTATTACAAGTGGAATTATATATCAGTCACTGCATAATGGATTCAGAAAGGTCAAGCAAGTGTCACATCTTAACAATGCACACGAAGAAATAACCGAATGCAAATGGAAGACTTGTTTGCAGATCATCAATGAGTTTTTGGATAGAATGTATGGACTATGTCAATTTGAAACTGTACCAACAAATTGATCGATGCCTATTTTAGGGATCATAATTGAAAAAATATTTCGTATTTAAGCTATGATCAATCAATTGGAAAAGTGCTCAAAATCCTTGTCTTGAAACAGTAATCTAAAGCAACAGCAACAGAAACAAAAATTAAAAGATTCTCACACACATTAATTGTCCCGTCCTGGGCATGTGATAAGAAGCTTTGAAAGTTTGGCTCAAGGAGGGGTCCACCACCAAGGGTTCCGAGACCTGCATCACAAGTTTGTTTTAGTAATACCACCATTAAATTTATTTATATTCAACTCAAGACCTCAAAAGAAAGAAAAAGATAACATACTACTTTATCTAAATTTATGCAATGGCAAAATTTCAAGCTATTCAAAATGTAAGCATCGTAACCTTTAACAACACCAAAAGCTGCTGCTACCCCGGCCTTAAGCTGAACATCATCCAAGTTTCTCCTTACAGTGTACCGAAAAGTCACTCCAAACAATGCACAACAAATGAAGTTGATTGCTAAAGGGAGAAGTAGCTGATTTGTGTGAGTGACCTGAGTGAAGTATATGGGAAGACCTGAAACCGTACCAACAAGGGCAGAAAGTGATGCTGCTTTTACTGACTCCAATCTCTCTGCATCTCCATCAATTCCTTCACTTTTCATCTCCATGGATGTACCGCCACCTTCAGGACCTCCCACATTTTCTAATAGAGAGCGTTCTGCTTCCTCCACCAGGGTTTTTGCCTCTGATATGTCTCTTTGGCATTCTGCAATCTTAGACTCGCTCAATTTTTGTAAGTAATGACTCAATCAATTAAAAGATATCAAGTCAAAGCCACATCGTAAACTGCGCAACACCTTTTAATTACAAGGTAAATAGCACTTTTTCTCAAAAAGAACTCACGGAGATAAGTACCCTATACCAGTTATTGAAGAATTATTAAATTTATATGGGGCAGAATATTGCTCTGAAGTTGATATGAAGGCTAGTAAAATCACATAAAAATGCATGAAAATGACCTTCTACAAGTGCCAGTTCCCACTCATCATGAGCATTATCAGCTCCTGGTTATGCCTTTCTAACTAACCAAGACAATTGTCAATGCACTATGAATTTAATCTTTCTAGTCGCTTCTGAGAAAATTCATGTTGGTTCCTTTTTATGGCATGTTGGTAACTCTTTGTACTCAAATATAAGCAGAAACGTTAATTTTGTTTACGATTAGGTCCATTAGTAGTAACAACAGCTAAGTCCTTCCAAGGCTGAAAGCCATTTAAGATTTTTATTATTAATTTATCAGAAAAGTGCCGAAATAATCGGTGCAGTTGGAGAAGATTCATTATCAATAGCATGGCTTCAGTGCGCCCCATGAAACAATAGAGATCTACATAAACGCAATCTCTGTTCCAGCCACAGATATCTCATTTGTTATCCTAAGAGTTTGATACCTAATGAAGAAAAAAACAACAATTACCTCGAAAACTTCGCCCTCGAGCTGGTTGACGTAATCCTTCAACTGCTTGACAGCTATTTCTTGTTTTTGGATCAATTCAAGTTCTCTCTTAGCCATCTCAACCCTCTGCGACGCCTTCTCTAAACCATCTAGCAAAACCTTGTTCTCTTTTCTGCTCAATAGCTCTTGAACTTGTTCGTCTACCAACCCATATAGTGCGTCCTTCACATCGTCACTTCCCCTCTCATCTGAGCTCCTGCAGTAGCATTTAGACAATGGAACTGTTCTAAAAGACTTAATCAACAAAGGAGAAGGAACTTGAATGGAGTTCAGAATAATAGTGCAAGTATTCATCACGTTCGTCCTTCAATTCCAATTCCAATTCCTCTCTCTCTCATCTATCTATCTATATCCAAACCAAACCATTCTGCGGTGCTAATCTAAACTGTGACGAAGAATCTGGATAATTTAAATTATAATTTTCATCTCTTTTTTATTTTTAATACACGTTTCTATTATTTGTAATTTTAATTTAATCTTTTATTGCATGCCTTTATTTTTTATTTATATTTTACTTAATTTAAACTTTATATTCATTCTTATTTATTAAGTACAATGATGTATTTAAATCATATAAATTGTAAAATACTTTTGTTAATAAGTGGAATTTGTTTTAAAAGAATCTCCTCAACCTAAAGACTTGAAGTTTTACAGTTATTTGTGGTAGCACACCATTGTGTATTTATTATATATAGAGAATTATATTAAAAGATATAAGAATGAAATATTATTAAAAGTCAAATAATTTTGTGATATATTTTACATTCACAATTTTTTATCTGGATATGAAGGTATTGATGAATGGTTGAAAAGATATGCAATACTTTAATTGATATATTATTATTATTAAATAATTTGAATAAAAATTTAAATATAAAGTATGTTTACATATATAATTTTAAAATAAAATTATATAGAAATAATATTAATATTAAATATTTTTAGTACAATCAAATTTAAAATAATTTTTAAAAATATATAAAAACATGTATAATATTAATTATTTGCGATACATATTTATAGTTTTTTCTTAAAAGAAAAAATATTTTAGTTAGCTAAATTGAATAATTAAATTTGACAAAAAAATTGAAGGTAGATATTGATATAATATTTGTTGTTATTATTACAATATTTCAAGTGGGAGAGCTTGCTCTCTCAATTATTTTCTCCCTTGATTCCACTGGTATCACAGATAGCTTATATTCTTCGTTATTTAGATATGAATTATACTTAAGAGTTTTCACTTTACATTCTCAGTATAATTATAAAAATTTATTTCCGAGTATTGTTGATTATGAGGAATTTATATATACATGTTTTATATCCTCTTATTCTCAAGAACAACAATCCCAGAAATATTATTCCTTAAAGTAGTTAAATCCATGAAACAAACACTTCCTCGTAGTTGAACGGTAATTCTTGCCAAATTTTGAAACTTCCATCTTCTCATGTATGCCTGTGAAAAAAATACTGAATGGCTAAACAAGCAATTTTTTCATGAACTGCTTAGTTCTCGTCAACTTTGCTAGGATAATTAAAATGCTGAGATATTGTAACAATCTTAAATATCACATTTGAGGTTGCAAATTTAAAATACAAAGCAAACGCCATTTTAATGCCCGGAAACAGTAGGTTAAAATTTATTCCTTCTGGCATCACTGTAATTGAATTAACTGGACTGTCACTTACAAGCTAGATCTCACGATATGTTGGCAGCAGCAAGTTTTTCCTCAAGTTTTATTATCCGAGACTGCTTAAACAAAAATGATAACGTAAAGAACAATCATTATTCCAGTAGAATAGTCACTTAAGATTTATCAGGCCGACCCAAACAAGATACAACAATAACAGACAGGACAGTAGAAAGAAGGAAACGTGCAACAAAGACCATAAATATTATTCCCAATAACAGTACAAGATATGCCATGCTTGTAATAATTTAAGTCATGAGTTTTTTCTTTTGAGAGGCTATTAATCCACAAGACAATACTCTTTCATTTCCTTCTAAGATTTACTTCTATTATTTAGATTAATATTTGAAATAGCACACAAAATCCACAGGATTATTCATTGTCCTCGTTATCAATTATGTTCCATCTTGGGTTTTTATATCATACATGATTCTTTTATATGAGATATATGATCCTGTAGAATTTCTCACTCTTATTATATTTTATTCATATATTCTGCATATAAAAAATAAAAATATAATAAAATATTAATAATATTTCAATTTTAATTATCTAAATCAAAATAATAATATAACTTTTTTTCTCTTATTCTGAATAATATAAATATTTCTTAATATCTAATTTAAATAAAAATAATAATAAAAAATATATTCTCAACTCGTCTTCCTGAAAACCACATATGTTTATTTATGCTAAAAGAAATACATATGATACGAATAGCTAGAGCAAAACATTAAACGCTACCTTGAATGATTTTGAATGACGAATCGAAGGATCTATATCTAAAGAAGCTAAATATGACTGTTCTGCAAGATCAAATTTGTTTAACGCCAAGAAGGCATCACCTTGGCAGATAAAAGCCTGCAGAGAGAAATGACAATATAATACAAGTGAAAAATAGGCACAGCAAATAACAAGTGAAAAATGAACATACACATACAGGTGATAGGCAAATCATATCGAGGTAAGATCAAGATCAAAATCTCCCTAGCTGTGACATTTTATCGTGAGATTTCAGTAATGATCAGAAGGTAGTAATTTTCACCCACTGCCTAATGCTGGGGAAGGGTGGATAGGAGACTGAGTTAGCATTCCATTGGTCAAGACACTTGACTGATTTAAAATTCAAGATGGAATATTCAAAATGCTTATGCGGAGAAAGCTCAACCTCTGGAGAGTCGCACCTTTCAACAAAAGAGAAATGCATACAGTAACAAACTCTCGAGTACTCTTTTTGAACTAATTATCTATTATTTACAAAAATTTATTAGAAATAGGTTACAATGGACCAGCTTTATAGGTAGTGTATGATGATCCAGTTTTAACGACCGTTGGATTCATCTATTGCTCACAGTTGTATCCTGCTTCTTCCCACTGAATTTACTTCTCTCAACCGTTTCTCTGCACCTTCCGCCGTTGCTCACAACCATATGCAACATCTCTCATCCTCACTGCCATCAACAGCCTTGACCCCATGGTCACCACCATTGTCACCCACAACACTCCATCATCTATGACATCATTGCTAAGGAGCCCAACCACTGCATTCAGTTCTCCCATAACAACCACACTGATGATAATTTTATTTAAACTACCAATTTTAAATTTTTCTGTGTAGGTTCAATTCTCAACCTACCGCAGAATCTGCTTCGGTCAGCACGTTGACAACATCCCACCCAGAAATTCCCTAGAGAACCACAAATAATCCTTCTTCCAAGGAGGTGGAGGAGAGTTCGATGCCACAGAGTCATCCTTTTGCATGGGTTCAAATATTGAAGATATCAAATTAGAATGTCTGAAAGGAAAGAGGTAGCTTCAGAATCAAACAGGGGTGAAGAAATAGAAACATACCCATGTATTGATTTTTCTCTCAAGTCCTATGTCTCATGCAAAGAGGCATGCCCACAATCTGGGTTCACTTTGGAAGGTGAAAATTTGATTCTTTGTTGACTACTATTGTGCAAGGTTGGTATTGGTGGGTTTCGGTTTGGTTTGGAGCAGTTGAATGCAGAGACTTGCTCTGAACCGCATGCATCTTGGGTTTGCAAGATGATTTCTTTATGGCAGGCTGGTTGACGGTGTGTTAGAGAGGTTGTGGATCGTGCAGTGATTGTTATGGTGTCTTGATTGATCTCCTGGTGAAAATGAAGAGGATGGTTGATTCATGAAGTCAGCCTCCTAGCATCTGAGAGACCAGAAAGGAGAATGGAGATGGAGAGAAAAGAAGAAAATGTTCTCTCCCAGGATTTCCAGCAATGGTGAACACTGATAAGAGGATTGCTGGAAAGGATGGGAGAAACGAGTGTAGTCTAGCCTGCAATAATAAAATTAATCCAGTGGATAAAAATTATGGACCATAATAGACCACCTATTAAGATGGTCTACCCTATCCTCATCCTTACAAAAAGTACAATTTTGTGAGTCTCACTTCTCATTTATGAATCTCACTCATAACTATGTTATATTCAATAAACTTCAACCAAAACATTTGAGTGTCTGGCAAAGACTCTTCTTCCACAGAATTTTTCATTTAACGTCAGATGCTACTCTTCATTACTCAAAACATTCGAACATATTTATTTAGGATAAGTAAGGCAGTATATTTAATGATTCAATGATGTGATTAGCAATGACATCACATAATCAGTAATCCAAATTAGACTTCATAAAAACAGTTGTAAATTTAACTATGATCATATTTATATAAATATTTACAAGAAAAGGAATTAAGAACTAAAAATGATTTGTACTTCTCTCATAAACTAAAATCAACTTATACACTTAATTTTTGTAGAAACTATTTCATGTAATTTCTTCAAAAGTTAAAGAGCATAAATTAATCTAAGCTTAGGATTTACCCAGTGGCCGGAGGATTTGGTAGACTGCATAAGGCCTAAGATTCAAACCTGATTGGTTTCATTGTACATAAAAAGAAAAGTTTGTTATTAGACTAAAAAACTTGAAGAAAACAGAAAAGGATAGGAAAACATCTTTCAATTATTTTCTGTTTTTGGTTTTTAAAACACTTATGAAACAGTTTTCGAAAAATAATAGATTTCAGATGAAAAATTGGTTGTATTGGAGAATTATTTTACAAAACAGGTTTTAAAACAAAAAGTAAAAAGGGAAAAACATACGGACAACAATCATGTAGTCTCTAAAGGGGTGTCTTAAGATGTGATCTTAATTGGAAAGAAAGTTTGTTAGAAGAGAAGAATCTGAGTCACCTCAGAGTAGCGGGGAGCTAATGCCAATGCCTCTTCCGCATCTTGGAGAGCACCAGAGTAGTTGCCCAATTCCAGCCTTACCAATGACCTGAATGTCAAATGTCAAAATAGATAATAACGTAACAACGGACGCAAGACATTAATGGAACCTGATATAAAGAATGAGTTAGCAAACCTGCATTTAAATGTGACATGTATGCCACCAAATGGTTTTAAATCTATAGCCTGTATCAATTAAGTTGAAAAGATAAAAAGGAAGAATGAGCAGTCTATCTCTTTAAATTCAGAAGTCTCAAGTAAAGAGGCGGAGAAAGAAGAATGGTTCACTGGTCGGCGTCTACCTGTGAGAGCAGAAGTTCAGCCTGGGTGAAATTTCGGTTGGCAAACTCAATGTCCGCCCTCTTCCTCAAAGCAAGCGCATCCAAACAAGCCTTGGGGTCATGGCCAGCTTCGGCAAACAGAGTGATTATGACCTCCGCAGCCCGAGCAGCCGTCCCACAATGGCCAACGGTGAGGCCATCGGGCAGGACCACCAGGTTGGGGCCGGAACCGCACCGCCCCAAGCACCCGCACGACTTTACAGTCACGTTTGGAGGAGCGACCCCACAGAGGGTTTCTAGGGTTTGAAATGAGCCCTGTCTGCGGCAGGTGCGGTTGCTGCACACCCGAATTTCCATTTCCTCCACCCTTTGAGCTTTGGCGCGCCAATCTAAACGACATCGTTTCACCGGTGGGGATGGCGCCACGTGACGAGAACTAAGCAACACATTGTGTATGCTGCGATACATCTAGTCTTTCAACTTCTAGCTTCCTGCTTCTTCTCCTACCACACGTCGGAATATCAACTATAAACTATTCTATGCAGCCACATTATTATTATTATTATATATATGAACTTGTCAAAAAAAAAATTCCAAAATTTATCTAATGTAAAAATTAATATCAATATGTAAATCATACTGATTATTTACCATTGATAATTTTATATTAATTTTAATTTTGCTACTAAATTGATAGTAAAATATCTTAAGTTTTTTGTATATTTCAAGCATATATGACATTAATTTAAAACGTTAGGTCAATTTGGATCAATGTAAATCTTTAAAGATACAATTCGTATGATATTTACTTTCAATCCATTGATAAATTTTGAAATACAGTCATATGTTAAAAAGTTACTTAATTACTTAAGAAATGCGGTTAATTATTGCTTGAACTTTTATCAAATAATATTATATTTACCCTTAAAATTTATTTTTTATGTATCCATAATGAAAATTAATATTGCATGATTATGTGAAGTTGGTAGAGGAGAATATGCGATTCAAATTGGATATACATTTATCGTGTTATTCTTATTATCTTATATATGGATATTTACATGTATATTTTAAAATATAAATTGAATTAAAGACTATAATACAAGAGTAATCAAAAAATTAATATATATATATATATATATATATATATATATATATATATAAGTAGAAGAAAATCACTTATTTCAAAAATAATACTTAAAAAATTATTTTTCGTTTTTATTAAGGTTTTTTAATAATTCAATAATCAAAATAAAATATTATTTTATATGATTAGATCATAAAAAAATGAAAAAAAAAACGAACATTAAATCTCTGACCTCCCTCTTTATATTTAAATATAAGAGTTCTTATTTCAAATCCAAAACAACCTTTCTAATTGAACAAGGGAAAAAAACTATTGAGAGAATGAGGTAACAAGAGTGGCATTAATACCGTTAAGGCTGTGAAATCAACCATTGTCCATACAAAAATTCAATTTAATGGTAACATTGTCTGTTTATTTACCTAAAAGAATAAAGGTTGGACAAATGCAAGTCGATTTATATTGAATTTACAATTTTGTGTTCTATAGACCAGAGACGAAAACTTTGTTTTAGAAGAAATATAACTATCATGTCCTCTGTCCTCTTGTCCATCTCAATTTAGTTAATGTTGTAAGAACAATGAACCATGAACTACTATGTTAATCAAACCATAGTTCAACACCAAAGTGATGTAGATGTCTGTTCAAAACATTCTATTCAAACAAACCTGTGAAATAAAAAATAAAAATAAAAATCTTTAAGAAAATGCAAGCATAATAAACAAGCTATAATGATTTACTAAAGACTAGAATAGAAGCACAAAATGGTATTTTGAAACAATTATAAAAACAATGCACTAAGTCCAAAACTTACCTTATATTAGAAAATTATTACTTCTATAAAAATGTATATTGGAGTGAAGTTGACTTAGTTCAGGTAAATTTAAACCATAGTGTGAAAATGGACGGAAATGAACATAAAATCTTGAGATTCACCCGAACATGAAAGTGGAAATTAGGAAAGAAAAATAAAAATGCATACAGTAACCTTATGTTGGGCACCACACTAATTACACAATAACTCAACTAAAGTAGAGATAAGTAAAAATTGAATAACAACAATAGATAAAACATGAAAATTTTATAATAAGAAAAAAATTACATACCTCATCTTTAGTCCCAAAAAAAAAATAATGACAACTCATTTTTGAAAATACAAATAACAATAAAAAAAGAAAAGGAGAAATGACTCTTAAGAAAACATTGAGTTCTTTTTATAATATAAAAAATAAGTTCATAAACATGTTCTGTTCTATGTGGGACTTTTACCCCTCTCACAATCTCTCACTTGAAGATTTTGATGAAATTAATCAAATCTTCACATCATGATATTCTGTCATTCATGTTACTTATACTTCCGATAGACCGTAACAGGATCGACTTCGTATAAACTTGTTAGCATTTATCGCCTTTTCATGACATCTGCTAGGTTTTTGTCAGTGTGAATCTTTTGTAGATCTACACTCCCTTCTTCTACTACTTCTCGAACAAAATGATATCTTATTCCTATGTGTTTTGTCCTGGAATGAAAGGCTAAATTTCTTGCAATGTGCAAGGCACTTTGACTATCACAATACACAACAATTTGCTACTGCTTGTGCCCAAGTTTTTTTATTATCATTTTAATCCAGATAGTCCCTTAAATACTTGGGTGATTATCATGTATTCAGTTTCTGTAGTAGACAAAACTATAACATCTTGATCACATAGCTAGTAGTAGATTTCCTTTTTATCTAAATCATCTGCAAAATCTGAATCAACATAGTCTCTAACAACTGCTTCTGATCCTCCATAACATAATGCAACACTTGAGATTCCTTTTATATACCTAAGGATCTTTTTAACATTATTCCAATGCTCTCCACCAGGATTCCACATGTGTCTACTAACCACTCTCACTGCTTGCGTAATGTCTGGTCTTGTACAAATCATGACATACATAAGACTTCCCACCGCTGATGCATACAGTACTCAAGACATCTTAATCCTCTTCGTTTCATTGCTAGGGCTCATACTAGAGGATAACTTGTAGTCAATCGGAAGTGAGGTAGAAATTAGCTTGTAATCTTGCATGTTGAAACGCAACAAGATCTTAAGTAAGTAATTCTTTTGAGAAAATCAAATCTTTCTATCATTTCTGTCTCGATGAATCTGCACCCCAAATCTTCCTATCCTAAGTCCTTCATATATCAAACTCCCTAGCCAACTATGCCTTCAATTCTTGGATTCGTGTTTTGTTGGGGCCTACTACCAACATGTCATCCACATACAACAATATAATGAAATCATTCTCTTTAAACTTATTGTAATAAATACAATGATCTGAACTCAATCTGTTGTAACCGAGGCTAATGATAAAGGAATCAAATCTCTTATACCAACACCTTGGCGTCTGCTTTAGACCGTATAGAGATTTGTTCAACCTGCAAACCAAGTTTTCTTGTTCTTCAAAGCCTTCTAGTTGGAGCATATATATTTCTTCTTTAAATTTTCCATAAAGAAAAGCAGTTTTTACATCCAATTGCTCAATATGTAAATCAAATGTATCACACATTGTAAGGACAATTCTGATTGTTGACAATCTAACAACTGGTAAGAATATCTCATTGAAATCAATATCTTATTTTTGAGCATATTTTTTTACCACCAATCTAGCACGATATCTTTCCACTTAATTATTGCCATCTTTCTTGATCTTGTATACCCATTTGTAACCAATAGTTTTTCGATCCTTTGGAAGTTCCACAAGATTTCATGTCTTGTTTCTATGAAGAGCCACTCATGATACCAGATTGTGAGAGGGGAAAAAGTCCCACATAGAATAGAACATGTTTAGGAATTTGGTTTTATGTTATAAAAGGAACCCAATGTTTCCTTAAAGTCATCCCAAAAAATTTCTCATTTTCTTTCTCTAGTGTTATTTGTATTTCCAAAAAAGGGTTGTTATTATTTTTTTTTCTTAGGACTAGAGAAGAGGTATGTAATTTTTCTCCTATTATAAAATTTTCATTTTTCGCCTATTGTTGTTATTCAAATTTTTCTCGTCTCTACTTTAGTTGAGTTGTTGTGCAATTAGTCTGATGTCCAACAGTGGTATCAGAGCCACGTTCTTATTCTGTTGTGCTAGTCACTAGAATAGTATTGGTAAAATTCTGATTATGTTCTGTGGTTACAGTTTAATCTGATCTTCCACATTAGAAAAGAGTTGCTACTGGAAAATGCGTAGTAGTGTGAAAATGCATGTATAAAGAAGTTTAGACTAGGAAAAACTTGGTACTTAAACGTGTCCATTAGTGACTCACCTATCTTTGCTGGAAAGTTACCTAATGTACTGGTTCACAGTCTACTGTTATTGTTCTAGTAGACAATATTATTCATAATTGAGAGTTGCATGAGTCGGTATACAACCATGGCATCAAAGTACGAGATACAGAAATTTAACGGAAACAATTTCTCATTATGAAAATTGAAGATGAAAGCAATTTTGAGAAAGGACAATTGCTTTGATGCAATTGAAGGAAGACCTGTAGAAACAACGAATCAGAAGTGGAAGAAAATTGACGGCAACGCTATTACGAATTTGCACCTAGCAATAACAGATTCTGTATTATCTAGTGTTGCGGAGAAAATACAGTAAAGGAGATTTGGGATGCCCTCATCAAATTATATGAGGTGAAGTCTCTTCACACAAGGATATTCTTGAAACGAAAACTTTATACTCTTCAGATGAGTGAGTCAACATCGATGACGGATCACATCAACCACTTGAACACCTTATTTGTCCAACTATCAGCAACAAATTTCAATATAGTTGAAAATGAGCGTGTAGAGCTTCTACTTTAAAGCCTACCAGACTCGTATGATCAACTTATCATCAACATAACAAATAATAATATTGAAGGACATCTACGCTTTGAGGACGTTGTCGGAGCTACTCTAAAAGAAGAATCCAGGTAAAAGAAAGGTAGAAAGTTCCAAACAAGTAGAAGCTTTGACGATGATGAGAGGAAGATCAATGGAACGTGGCTCCAGTGGGAGTCAAAATCATGACAAGTCAAGCTCTCAAAATAAGAAGAATTTCAAATTCAAATGCTACCATTGTGGCAAGAAAGGACACAAAGAAAAAGTATTGGAAGAGGATGAATGAAGAACCAACCTCATAAAATTGCGTTGCAAATACCTTTGAAGAAGGAGAAATTTTGGTGAGTAAAGCAACGATAAGTTCAAATGGTGAAAGTACATTTCATAATAAGTAGATAATGGATTCAGGTGCAACTTGGCACATGACTCCACATCGATACTGGTTTCAAAAGTACGAGTCAATCTCAGGTGGATACATGCTTTAGAAATTGTTGAGTTGATACAATCAAATTAAAAATGTATG